AACCAAGTCCGGAACCCTCCGTTTTTTACCCCTCTTTATTTATACATGAGAAATTTGAAAAAATCTATTATTCGTCAAAACAGCCGAAGACCCAAAATTTTTTTACATTTCTGGCATCAATATAATCTACCTTATCACTCCCTATTAGCCGTTTCCCCAAACCAAGTCCGGAACCCTCCGTTTTTGACCCCTCTTTATTTATACATGACAAATTTGAAATAATCTATTATTCGTCAAAACAGCCGAAGACCCAACATTTTTTTACATTTCTGGCATCAGTATAATCCACTTTATCACTCCCTACTAGCCGTTTCCCCAAACCAAGTCCGGAACCCTCCGTTTTTGACCCCTTTTATTTATACATGACCAATTTGAAAAAATCTATTATTCGTCAAAACAGCTGAAGACCCAAAATTTTTTTACATTTCTGGCATCAATATAATCTACCTCATCACTCCCTACTAGCCGTTTCCCCAAACCAAGTCCGGAACACTCCGTTGTTGACCCCTCTTTATTTATACATGAGAAATTTGAAAAAATCTATTATTCGTCAAAACAGCCGAAGACCCAAAATTTTTTTACATTTCTGGCATCAATATAATCTACCTCATCACTCCCTACTAGCCGTTTCCCCAAACCAAGTCCGGAACCCTCTGTTTTTGACCCCTCTTTATTTATACATGAGAAATTTGAAAAAATCTATTATTCGTCAAAACAGCCGAAGACCCAAAAGTTTTTTACATTTCTGGCATCAATATAACCTACTCTCTCACATCATACCATCTGTTTTTCCAAAGCAAGTACTTCATTTTTCACCACCCTCGTTTATATTGCTACATGGAATTTCAAACATAATCATAACTCGTAAGTATAGCTGTGATTTTAGAATATTGTCAGATGTTAATGTTAGATGATTAGATGTTAAAATCTAACTAAAGTAATCTGTACTTGAGTAAAACAAAACGGGTGAGATCAAATTCAACAATACAGAGGTATGCTGTTCATAAAACGTTATTAAATCCTGAAATATGGAAGTGTGGTGCGGACAAATGCAGTAAATAGGTCGTTTTTACCTGTTACCCTATCGTAAAGGTTGAGGGTGTTTCCTGTCGGGAGTAATAAAAATACTAATAAAAATAATACAAAGGTATGCGGTACACAAACATATCAATACGAATATTAAAACTAACAACATAAATGTCACACAAAAATATAAAGTAGATATTGAAACATGTTGTAGAAGAAGTTTCAGGGTCAAAAATGTATTGCGTAATAAGGTTCGCGACTTGTTAGATTGAAATGTCCTCCGCAAAATGTTATGGTGTATGAGCCGGGCGATTGTTGTCAACATGGACTAAACAATTAGGGCAAAGAAAACAGTGAAGCATGTTGCGGCACTGGTGCCGAAGAAGGGCGTTTCAATTCTAACAAGTTGCATACACATGTTTCAGTTCCAGTTTGTTAGATTGGAAACCGCCCTTAGTTGCACTGGTTGATATCTTATGAGATCAGGGGCTTGAATCTGAATGACCATTGAAATCAATTTCGGCGGCGTCTTGTGACGATTTACTTGATTCCGAATGATGCTTTTGCCATATGGTTATATCGATTATTTAATATTGAAATTTTCATGGCAGTGTAAAAATTATCGTAGCGAATCAAGTATATCGACACAAGACGCCATTGAAATCAATTTCAACGGTCGAAACTCATTTAGAATCAGGCCCCAGGTTACCGTTGTAGTTGCCTAGATAAACAACGCTCATCAAACGTAATGAAAAAAAAAACGGAAAACACTGTTGCGCTTTACACGGAAACTCTCACGTTTACACAGATATCGAATACATGATGTAATACTGCCTGAAAAATGCATTTTTGTCAAGTTATCGATATTTCATTTAGTTTTGGCTTTTTGGCTTTCAAACATTTTGACAAATATCTTTGTTCAAGTTTGCTATATACATAGGGGCTCACAGTAGGCGGGACTTGCTTTTGGAAAACGGCTAGTAGGGAGTGATAAGGTAGATTATATTGATGCCAGAAATGTAAAAACCTTTTGGGTCTTCGGCTGTTTTGACGAATAATAGATTTTTCAAATTTCTCATGTATAAATAAAGAGGGGTCAAAAACGGAGGGTTCCGGACTTGGTTGGGGAAACGGCTAATAGGGAGTGATAAGGTAGATTATATTGATGCCAGAAATGTAAAAAAATTTTGGGTCTTCGGCTGTTTTGACGAATAATAGATTTTTTCAAATTTGTCATGTATAAATAAAGAGGGGTCAAAAACGGAGGGTTCCGGACTTGCTTTGGGGAAACGGCTAGTAGGGAGTGATAAGGTAGATTATATTGATGCCAGAAATGTAAAAAAATTTTGGGTCTTCGGCTGTTTTGACGAATAATAGATTTTTTCAAATTTGTCATGTATAAATAAAGAGGGGTCAAAAACGGAGGGTTCCGGACTTGGTTTGGGGAAACGGCTAGTAGGGAGTGATAAGGTAGATTATATTGATGCCAGAAATGTAAAAAAATTTTGGGTCTTCGCCTGTTTTGACGAATAATAGATTTTTTCAAATTTCTCATGTATAAATAAAGAGGGGTCAAAAACGGAGGGTTCCGGACTTGGTTTGGGGAAACGGCTAGTAGGGAGTGATAAGGTAGATTATATTGATGCCAGAAATTTTAAAAAATTTTGGGTCTTCGGCTGTTTTGACGAATAATAGATTTTTTCAAATTTGTCATGTATAAATAAAGAGGGGTCAAAAACGGAGGGTTCCGGACTTGGTTTGGGGAAACGGCTAGTAGGGAGTGATAAAGTGGATTATACTGATGCCAGAAATGTAAAAAAATTTTGGGTCTTCAGCTGTTTTGACGAATAATAGATTTTTTCAAATTGGTCATGTATAAATAAAAAGGGGTCAAAAACGGAGGGTTCCGGACTTGGTTTGGGGAAACGGCTAGTAGGGAGTGATAAAGTGGATTATACTGATGCCAGAAATGTAAAAAAATTTTGGGTCTTCGGCTGTTTTGACGAATAATAGATTTTTTCAAATTTCTCATGTATAAATAAAGAGGGGTCAAAAACGGAGGGTTCCGGACTTGGTTTGAGGAAACGGCTAGTAGGGAGTGATAAAGTGGATTATACTGATGTCACAAATGTAAAAAAATTTTGGGTCTTCGGCTGTTTTGATGAATAATAGATTTTTTCAAATTTGTCATGTATAAATAAGAGGGGTCAAAAACGGAGGGTTCCGGACTTGGTTTGGGGAAACGGCTAGTAGGGAGTGATAAGGTAGATTATATTGATGCCAGAAATGTAAAAAATTTTGGGTCTTCGGCTGTTTTGACGAATAATAGATTTTTTCAAATTTGTCATGTATAAATAAAGAGGGGTCAAAAACGGAGGTTCCGGACTTGGTTTGGGGAAACGGCTAGTAGGGAGTGATAAGGTAGATTATATGATGCCAGAAATGTAAAAAAATTTTGGGTCTTCGGCTGTTTTGACGAATAATAGATTTTTTCAAATTTCTCATGTATAAATAAAGAGGGGTCAAAAACGGAGGGTTCCGGACTGGTTTGGGGAAACGGCTAGTAGGGAGTGATAAAGTGGATTATACTGATGCCAGAAATGTAAAAAAATTTTGGGTCTTCGGCTGTTTTGACGAATAATAGATTTTTTCAAATTTGTCATGTATAAATAAAGAGGGGTCAAAAACGGAGGGTTCCGGACTTGGTTTGGGGAAACGGCTAGTAGGGAGTGATAAGGTAGATTATATTGATGCCAGAAATGTAAAAGAATTTTGGGTCTTCGGCTGTTTTGACGAATAATAGATTTTTTCAAATTTGTCATGTATAAATAAAGAGGGGTCAAAAACGGAGGGTTCCGGACTTGGTTTGGGGAAACGGCTAGAAGGGAGTGATAAGGTAGATTATATTGATGCCAGAAATGTAAAAAATTTGGGTCTTCGGCTGTTTTGACGAATAATAGATTTTTTCAAATTTCTCATGTATAAATAAAGAGGGGTCAAAAACGGAGGGTTCCGGACTTGGTTTGGGGAAACGGCTAATAGGAAGTGATAAGGTAGATTATATTGATGCCAGAAATGTAAAAAATTTTGGGTCTTCGGCTGTTTTGACGAATAATAGATTTTTTCAAATTTCTCATGTATAAATAAAGAGGGGTCAAAAACGGAGGGTTCCGGACTTGGTTTGGGGAAACGGCTAGTAGGGAGTGATAAGGTAGATTATATTGATGCCAGAAATGTAAAAAATTGTTGGGTCTTCGGCTGTTTTGACGAATAATAGATTTTTTCAAATTTCTCATGTGTAAATAAAGAGGGGTCAAAAACGGAGGGTTCCGGACTTGCTTTGGGGAAACGGCTGATGTGGTGTGATTGACTAGATCATATACATGCGAGAAGTGTCCAAAACATTTTGGTCTTGGGCGGTTTTGAAAAAGCTATAGATGATTATATAGCTTCTAAAATATTAGGTTTTTAAAGGGGGGGTCAATTTGCGGTATCTGTGAACGAGATAGCACGGATTTGAACTTAGCGTAAGTAAAATATGCTTTTTCTAATCAATTGACGTGAAAACCGCATTCTCCAGGTTTATTTTAATGTAATATCAATTTTTTCGCGTTTCTCCTCACTTTGAGGAAGATTTTGGAGGAGGGAGATAAAACTCTTACAGTACATAGAAAGCCCGTAATACAATCGAACTACGTGAAAACCGCATCGATTTATGTTTATTTGGGCCTAAATTACGTCAGTAGAAGTGGTAATGGCAAAATTTCGTCACTGCTGCCTTTTTACCGTTTCGATCAGAGCGTGATCGATCGGAACTTCAGCCGCATGGAAGTTAAAGCTTTATTTTATTCTTAACGAATTCCAGCTATACTGTTGTACTTAATTGAATTGATTATTTTGGCAACAAAATCCAATTCTTGGTCAATAACATGTTGTTTGCTTCTACTGTCCCTAGTGACTAAATAATACTATTCATCAGTCGAATGGATTAGTTTTACTGCAACTGTATACATTCATTTTGACATATATTTTTGTTTATAGTAACAACTCTGACACTGTTTTGGCAAGAAATGATAGTTCAATTACTCTGTCGGCCAGCTTATTGTCAGCAAACAGTTACTGCAAGCTCTGATGATGAACCTAGAGAACTACCAAGCATCTCGGGAAAATGACTAGGCATAGGCAAATAATGCAGCAAAGGTGAGTTCAAGTTTTCAAAATTGATAATGATGAGCACACAAAGTAATATCTATTATTTCAGATCCAAATGCATAAGCATGTATGGAACATTTCTGGCAAAACTGTAGGTAGCGCAGAAAAAACAATAGCGTCTCTGAAAAAGAAAATTAAAAATCTTCACCAGCAAAATCGCAGACTGAAGTCTAAAAAAGTATATTCCCAGCAATCATTAATGAGTATTTGAGGGAGACATGTGGTTTGACGCCAAATGCAGGACTAGTTTGAATGTAGGTATCAGTTGCATGCTGCTACACACTTCAATTAGCCTAGAACTTATTGTTTCCATTTTAGTTTAACATGTTTACAATACTGAAAAAGATTTATGTTTTTTTTTTGGTTTATGCAAAGTTTCAATAATATTCTACTTGTGAACATGATTATTCCATGAATATATATTTGTTTTCAGGCATCAGTGGATGATGGCACAAAGGAAATCTGAAACGATTTATCAAGGGGAAGTCAAAACAAAAATATAATGCTTCTCTCAGAGCTTTTGCATTAACTTTGCATTTTTATAGCTCAAAAGCTTACGATTTGTGAGAGAGCAATTCAATAAAAGTCTACCACACCCCCATACTCTAATAAAATGGTACCAACGGATAAATGGTGCACCTGGCTTCAGCATGGAGGCAAAAAACAACTTACTGTGTAAGTACAAACGGAAACAGAAGCATGGCCGTAAAGTTTTGTGCAATCTGGTCATGGATTCAATGGCAATTAGGCGGCGAATAGAATGGAATGGCCAAAAGTGGACAGGATACATTGACTTGGGTTTTGATATGGATGGAGATAAACTTCCTGAGGTTAAAGAAGCATTGGTTATGATGCTAGTGGCTATAAATGGCAAATGGAAGCTACCTGTAGGTACTTCTCATCAGTGGTCTAAGTGGAGAGGAACAGGCAAACTTAGTATCAAATCTCTTACTTTTATTCACGATACAGGTGTTATCATTTGTTCAGTAACATTTGATGGGCCTCTCAAAATATTTCGATGATAAAACACTTGGGAGCTGATCTGAAAATTGGAAACTTAAAAACCTGGTTCCCACATCCAGTTGATTCGCACAGGGGTGTACGTTTATCTCGATCCATGTCACATGCTAAAATTAATCAGGAACTGCTTAGCAACTTATAAAAATTTCAAGACAGATCAAAATGAGTTAGTTTCTTGGGAATACTTTGAAAAGTTGGTAAACATTCAAAACAATGAAGGCTTAAGAGCTGCTACCAAAATTAAAGAAAGACAATGTGAAATGGGAAAATGAAAAAATGAAGGTATGCCTAGCAGCACAAACATTCAGTAAAAGTGTTGCTGATGCACTGAGGTTTCTGGAAACAGATTTAGGTTTGAAAGAATTTGAAGGTTGCTTCAGCAACTGCCAACTTTGCTGAAATGATAAATAATATTTTTGACATTTTTAATAGTAATTCGAGATACTCAAAATACGAATTCAAACAAGGCTAGATGTCAATAATGCTCAGCAGATATTTGTATATTTGGAACAGTGCAAGACATACTTGAAGGTCTTAAGACAGAAACAACCCCAGTACTTCAATGCAGAAGGAAACGGGTTTCCTGGGATTTTTGATTTGTATGGCTAGTTACAGCAATTTTATCTAGAAATATGTCATTGAATTCAATACTTGAATTACATATTGACATACAAGCTGTCCCAAGACCATATTGAGCTATTTTTAGCGCAGTGCGTAGTAAGGGAGGATGTAATAATAATCCAACTGCTCGACAATTTGAAAGTATTTTCAAGAGATTACTTTTGCATTGTGACATTAAGGGCTCCAAGTATGGAAATGTTGTTTCACTGGACCAACACTAGTATTCTAGGCACTACATATATCAACACTTTGACTAAAACTAATTGTGGCAACATTCTTTCAGAGAATGATGATTATATGGAGAATACTACAGAAGTTTTAATATTTGGTAGTTGTTCATTACATCTGTGGCAGCTAACTCCGTATGTCTGTGATATTGTCGCATACATATCTGGCTTTGTGGTGAAAAATTTGAAAAAGTGTGTATCTTGTCATGAATGCCTGCTGCTAATGGAATCCAGTGAAACACGTTCTTTGTTGCAAAAAAGGAAGCAATATGGCAACTTAACACGAGCTTCTAATTATGTTATAAAAGTCTGTGAAGAAGGGGAGAGGTCTGTAAGGTCCTTGAAAGCCATTTCCAGCATATTTAGCAATAAACTTGGAAACATCGAAAAATACTTAGTAAGCTATACACTAAGGAAGTTAAATACATCAATATTTGAAGTATTTGGTGACCATATTCTAGATGATAGCTTCGAAAACAATCATTCACTGCAGCTGACAAAGATGATTTTGGCTAAATACATAAGGCTAAGGTTACACCACGAGTCAAATTTAGCATCAGAATTTGGTAGACGATACAGAAGTGACCTCGCAAAAAGCATACTATTCAGAAATCAGTAAAACTTTGATATGATTTTTCTCTACATTTTGTTATTTTCATCTCTGACCTTTCAACCTGTTAGAACGCCTCAGCTGAGTTTACGTGATTCAGATCATTCGAGATGATCAAAATAAATTAAAGAAGTCAATGATTTGTGTTTCTTGTGAGATGAATGGGACTTGAAGCCAACTTTTCTCCCATTCTTTTTTTTGGGGGGGGGGCACCATCACCGATACCTTTTTTCTATGGGACATCATCATCATAAAATCTTCCACTTTGAGGGGCACCAACATTACTTTTTGGTGAGGGGAACCAACATCGCCTTTTTGAGTGCTATGATCATTACACCAACATTGCACTTGTACATGGGGCACAGTCATCACATCATTTCACCACCAGCGCATGGGACCATCCCTGTTTTAAACTCAGATTTGTCCACTCTTTGCCAGAGTAGATCAAAAGATAAATCATTCTTTTCATGTGATTCTTACCTCAATTTTTGCTTATTGTTTGGGTTTTTTTCTAATATTGTTTGAATTTTACAACCTTGTTTTATTTGTCCTCATGCTGCTATCGTTCTTTACAATTACAACATCAACTCTACCCTGATCTCTCATATCCTACTACTGAGCAACCAAGAGCTATAAGTATGAGCTTACATATGGCATGCTGCCTCATCTTTTTCTTGGGGTATATGTGAGGTTATAATGTGACTGCGTTCAAGAGTAAATTTTGTCTTTTTATTCTTTTGAAATTTTGTACGCGCCTCTTATACTGTTTAATATAGATTTAATATGTTTGGATAAAGTAGCTACATAGGGGTAAATTATTTATTGTATTGTGTATATCATATTTCTATTAAAGACGTTTTATTATTATTATAATAACTGAATTAAAATATTTCAAACATTTGTTGTTTAATTATCCCATTACCTGTATCCACTGTTACTGTTTTATAAAAATTATAATAAACCTACAGAAACCCAAATCCTCTTAAATACACTGCATCAGAATATGTTCTTTTGGGACTAGCTTGAGATGCTACCAAATATAACTGAATGTACCCAATAATTAGAGTGACTGCACACTGCCAACTTTTTAGTTTCGGTGGAAACATTGCATTCCTTGCAGGGAACATTTTATTTTATGGCATGCTGGCTCTAAACTTTGGATATTGTTCATGAACATTGTCTATTTAAACAACTCGTTCTTAGTTGTGAACTCGTTCAAGTCAATATCGGGATAATGATTACATATTGTACAACTTGCAAATTTTTCTCGCTTGAAATCGTGAAAATCCGAAACACGGATATTTTGGGTACATTGAAGTGCAATGAGATTCTGTATGAATGAATTGGTAACCTACTTAAACAAAATATTGATACGCCTATGGAAAATGAATGTCAATCGTCGAACGTTTGTTTACAAAACAGTCTTCACCTGTCCCCTTGCACCCCTGAATCGGTTACAAACAATGACACGTATACATGCGTAGTCTAACCTTATGAAGTCGTTGGATAGCATGAGGCTAAAACAGTTTTAGCCATGTCATTTTTATTTGAGGCATATCCAACAATGTTTTGTGAGCGATAGTCCAGCCTAGATGTTATATAAATTTCATCGATCATCAAAATTACAATTTTTTCTCTTGGAGCTAATTTAATTGCTATATTCGAAAGGTAGTGTTCATTATTCCTATCATTTTTTGGAGATATATCCATACTTTAGGAGATAGGTTGTAAATATCGCTTACTTGGCAAAATAAAAAATCTTTTAATTAAATTATATGTTGATGATGAGTGGTTATAAAACGTAAAAGCCATTATTATTGAAAGTGATGCATATATGTTTTTCCTGTTTTGAATTTGTCTCAGCTGATCAGCAATAATCTCTAGATTTTTTGTATATGGAAACATAACTGAGTCATTATTAATTATGGAAATCGCTTGTGTCAAGTTGTTCCAATGCATTCATGATGCAAACTTCAACAGAGTTTTTCTGTTGGTTCTCAGAAAAATAGAAAAAATACCTATTTAGCAGGTTTTCTAATTGGGACCATCTGGTAATTTTGAGATCATATGGCAAAACCCACTTCAAGTCACTAAAAGAAAGCTTACATCTTTTATGAACAACCTGAACTTCCATCTGACCATCAACTATAATCTGTGTTTTCAAAGTTAAGATATCATTTTCAAAATCCAATTGGTTTATAAAAATATAGCTTTCCATCAGATAATTTATTATTCCATTTCTGTGAGGCTTTAATTTTTGAAAATGAAGAACGTAATTCTTGAAAGTCTTTGATCTTATCCATATCATTGAAATTCTGGATAGCTTTTTCATGTTTCTGGAGATATATCCATACTTTAGGAGATAGGTTGTAAATATCGCTTACTTGGCAAAATAAAAAATCTTTTAATTAAATTATATGTTGATGATGAGTGGTTATAAAACGTAAAAGCCATTATTATTGAAAGTGATGCATATATGTTTTTCCTGTTTTGAATTTGTCTCAGCTGATCAGCAATAATCTCTAGATTTTTTGTATATGGAAACATAACTGAGTCATTATTAATTATGGAAATCGCTGTGTCAAGTTGTTCCAATGCATTCATGATGCAAACTTCAACAGAGTTTTTCTGTTGGTTCTCAGAAAAATAGAAAAAATACCTATTTAGCAGGTTTTCTAATTGGGACCATCTGGTAATTTTGAGATCATATGGCAAAACCCACTTCAAGTCACTAAAAGAAAGCTTACATCTTTTATGAACAACCTGAACCTTCCATCTGACCATCAACTATAATCTGTGTTTTCAAAGTTAAGATATCATTTTCAAAATCCAATTGGTTTATAAAAATATAGCTTTCCATCAGATAATTTATTATTCCATTTCTGTGAGGCTTTAATTTTTGAAAATGAAGAACGTAATTCTTGAAAGTCTTTGATCTTATCCATATCATTGAAATTCTGGATAGCTTTTTCATGTTTCTCAATTAATTTTTGTTTTCTTTGCATTGGGTCAGTTCTTTTGGGTGCTTCTGTTTTTGGAAGATAGCTTTCTGTTTTCAAAGCAGAATTATAGTTTGCATTGCATAAAGGAACACAGCAACAACGAGGCATAAGGTGTATTTTTTAATTCACCGGTTGAGCAACCGGTGCCACCGGTGGACCAGACATCTGTCCTTTCAATTCAACCGGTTGCTGCCATCACCATACAAAGCTGTCAACAGTGTCAACCATAAGCATCAGTGGTGGAATCAACCGGTGAATTAAAGAATCCACCTATATTGTCTGCGTCAAATACTTGATAAATGAAAAAAGAAAAATACAACCTGAATTTGCACGTTTTCAATAGTTGAAATCCTTAGCATCCTGAGGCGCGAACAGCCACAGTCACACTTCTTAGTTTATTTTTAAAGCACAGAAGCACTACAACTGGAGTCTATTTCTCATATATTATAGTCACCGATCACTTTGAACACATACACACACTTTGAAGCTTAGAAAACAAGCTTATCTCTTAATTACAGCCTCTGCGATTCCCAAATCACAAATTGAAAAGGTTATGTTTTCTCAGCGTTTTGAGCGGCGAGAGTAACACTACCACCTACGTTGCCAGATTTCTTTGTTCACGGCTCGTAGTTGACGTCGGCTGTGGTATTGGATATTGTTATTGTACTTCAGCTTCATTTTTGAGAAAAATGATACAGGCTGACTTCAGTTTTACCATAAAGTGGAGCACCTTAGGCAAGGCGCGCACTGAGATGGTAAGCAAGTGACGTGGTAGTGGCGCGGTGATCAAGTGGCAGGTGGAATCGCTAAAGCCTATATAAACAAATGAAGACGCGCGTATCAAAATGGAGTAGCGGTGGCGTGGCATTTTGTAGGTGGCGTGATGTCAGTCTGGTGCCACTAATCTCGAGCAAGTTTAATTTTCGACTGGCAAGCGGTTGGTGACGACGACGCGACGTGGGTTTTTGTTTACTTTTTCCTGGAGTGAATCATGCGAGACGACCACGAATTGAACATTAATTTCGTAGCCCTTGTAGAGGCATATCCCTGTCTGTATGACAATACACGGGAGGATTATCATATGATCCATGTGCAAGAACGGGCTTGGGCGAAAATTGCAAAAGACATTGGGGAAGGAGGTAAGTAATAAAAAAATGTGGTTCCTTGAAAATATATTTTTTTATTTAAAGGCATTATTTAGTTATCTTTTTATTCTGTTAATATTGTTATCTTCTTGTTTTCATACACAAAATCGTTTTTGACCTTTAAGTGACCCGTCCACTGTTAAAAAAAAATCACAAAGTTTCTCCCGTGTAGCAATTGCTGGATTGGTAGCTCTTCTTTGATTTGAGAGTCTCGGATAAGGCTGTTCCTCATTTTCTACTTCTATGTCATCATCATTTCCTTTCTTTCCTCGCGGGCGCGAAAATATACCTTCCTCTTTTTAATAAAATTATGCAGTAAGCACACTGCTTTAACAATATTGTCCACTGTATTTATATTAAGACCAATTGTTGTGTGTAAAATTCTGAACTTGGATGACATCATTCCAAATGAGCATTCAACTGATTTGCGACCTCTTGATAACCTACCATTGAATACCCTTTTTCTATTTGTTAAGCCTCTTTTAGGGTAGGGTTTCATTATAGTACACATCAATGGAAAAGCTTCGTCTGCAGCAAAATAAAATGGAAAATTTGTGTCTTGTCCTGGTAATGGAGATGGGTCTGGCAAGTCTAACGTGCTGTTAACTAATTTCTTTCCAAAATTACTTTCTTTTAATGCCCTCCCGTCACTATTTCGGCCGTACTCACCAACATCAATGGTCAAGAAACAGCCATCTGCGTCTGATACAGCCATCAAAACAATGGAAAAATACCCTTTGTAATTAATAAATTCGGAACCTGATTTTGGTGGACGTTTGATCCTGATGTGTTTACCGTCTATACTCCCCACACAATTTGGTAAATTCCATAACTCCCAGTATCTTCGAGCTGATTGTACCCATGTTTCTTTGGTAGGATTAGGAAGATAAGTTGGTTGTAGAACTTTCCAAATTACTACTGAAGTTCTTGCAATTATTTCTCTAATGGTAGTATGACCTCTCAAAAAATAACATGATAGTGCCTTTAGATTGCAGCCGGTTGCAAAATACCTGGAAAGAAAAACAATAATTAAGTAGGTACTTAACAAACAAAGTGGTGGAAGTGGTGGTTTTCCCCACATCACGGCATTTTGGTTTTAAAAAAATAAAAAATTACATATCAATTGGCGTTATTTCACTTTTTAATAGTGTTCGAAAGCGTAAAAAAGTGAATATTAATAACAATATTATTAATAATTATAATAATAGCAAGCAATAAAGTAAACTTTACACACACATTATGCTCAGCACGCTTCATTTGTATATCTTAATGATGTGTTTTTATTGTAGCTACCATCGCAGATTGCAAAAAAAGGTGGAAGAATTTACGTGGAAGTTACACGAAACATTTAAAGACATACATGCCATCTGGATCTGGAGCATCGGTAAAACGCCCATACTATCTCTCGGAGTACATATGTTTTGTTTTACCGTTCACTAAGTCCCGCCAACCGAAAGGAAATGTTGACGCACCAAAGAATATTGAAACGGCCGATATAATTCATGAAGAATCAATTACGGAGGACCTAGAGACCGAAGAGCTTGAAACTCAACAATTAGGAAGTCCAAAAATTGGAAATTACAAAAACAACCAAGGGAGAAATGACGATATTGATGATGAACAGTGGATTCCTGAAGAATTTAACGAGCCTGTATCAAATATTATTGTATCTCAGACAGACAGTTTGGAAAAAAATGATTCTGGAGATCCAAAGCAAAAAACACAAAAGAGAAGTGTATCCAGTTCGTCAGTACCTAGTGTAAATAATCCTAAAAGAAATAAAACTACTCCGAATCCAATATCTTTGGCAGATGTTAACAAATCTGCCTTTGAATTTTTTGAAAAAAAGAAGCAAGCACCGTATAAACCACCTGCTTTCACTAATGATGATGCCGATGTGCAGTTTTTGTTGAGTCTATTGCCCGATTTAAAAAAAATGTCAGACAAGCAGAAAAGAAAATATAAAGCGGGAGTCCTAAATCTTGCCGGTGAAATCTTGGATGAGCCTGTAGTGTCTCATATTTCTGCACCTCTCTTCTCCCCAACGTCTAGTTATTCATCGCTTGCTGCAGAAGGTATACCTTCTGAGCCTTCTACCCGTTCCTCTTCAGCATGTACCAGCTCTATTCGACCTCAATGTGAGACAGCTGATTCGCGGACATATGAAGATATTTCGTTTTCAACAGTACGTCAGACATCCACACAAGCACAAGATACATTATTACCAAATATTCAGTATAATAACCCATTATTACCAGATCATGAATTTGCTTTTTAAGAATAATGTTGTACAATAAGTTTGTATTTGGATAGTAAATATATCTGTATTTATATTTTTCAATTGTACGTACCTCAGTGTTATTAGAACGCTTTCTTCGGGAGAAACACATTTCCTGAAGTTCGTATCCTTTTTTTGAAGCATAGGCCGTAGTTTAGTCAGTAACTTGCTAAAAGTCTCTTTCTTCATTCGATAGAAAAGTTTAAATTTTTGGTCGTCCAAGTTCAAATCCTTTTTATAAACATTAAAAATTCCAAACTTTTTATTTTTTTGCCACAGCGGATGAACCCAATGCCGTTTTTTCTTCGTCTCCTGACTTATAGCATTTAGATTAACAAGTTGCATAAATAAAAGGGCATCTTCATCTTCTGAGGACGACATGGTAAACCGGTGACATCAACTGACTTGTTTGCCACTTCAGTGCGCTTTATATCACTTTCATACCACTTCGCCGCTATTCCGATCGCCACGCCAAATTTTACCATCCCTATGCCTCTCACCACTCCAATACCTCACCACTACCACACTACCTCAGTGCGCGCCTTGCTTTATGTAGTGGTTCAGTGTGGTGCGCGGCAACTCGGCAACAGTGGACGAAATTGTGATAGATCGAGCGAGGGGGCAGTTTAGAGGTGATCTTAGCAGCGACTTGCAAGTCGCCGGGATAACGGTGACAGCGACCTTAAAGTCGCCGGTAGATTTAGCAGCGCTTTAGGTCACTGCTTATCTATGGTCGCTGCCAGCAGCCAGCGACTCCCTGGCGCTGATTAAATTACTCGATATTTGGCGGCGGTTATCCATTGATATTAAGGAGGTGTAGATGTACAGGTTCCTGAAGATTTGAATTAAACTATATTTAAGGTTTTTGTTTTTAACAATATTGAGCACAAAACACATAAAATCATAAAAATACATAAAATATCTTTCTATGAATCTTAAAAAGTAAAACAAAATACTATTTTACCAGTCAAAATAAAACTTTTAAAACATAACAAATGTAGTATAAAAATGCTTCTTTTATATGTTAAACATTGCTTAATAAACGAAACATTTTTCTATGAAACAAGAACTCACAACAATAAAAATAAAAACTAACAAAATAGGTTAGGCTACGCTGTAGCGACCTTGTACTTCCCGCGCGATGATCGCGAACACGATGTGTATATGCTTCCTGGCGGCGACCGCCACCGAAACAGCGTTACAGCTACCGATCAGTGGTTACCGATACCGATACTTCCAAACAGCGATCTGGGTCGCTGCTTCATGGAGAATCAGGTCGCCGGGACTAACGGCGACCATTCAAGTCACCGGGAAAGGTCGCCGGTACCGATATATCGATCATCTCTAGGGCAGTTGCCCTTCGCCGCCGAGAGAGGCAACAGGTGACGTGACCATCTTCCGGATTTAAGTATTACCGGGTTCTATGTTTTTTTTAAGTTAGTGAATTATTTTGTGCCTTACTACCATTAAAGTTTGTTAGCCATATCGCCGTCGTTATTACTGAAACCCACGAAAAACCCTGAGTGATATTGTGTAAGCTCGGATCCACTTCATTTGGCGCCCAACTCGTGGCAGTAGAACGGCGTAGCGCGATACGCTTGCAAGGTGTTAGATAGAGAAGGAACGAGACGCGACGAAAACGGTACGCGTAGGTGAAGACGGTTGATTTTGGCGGCGCGACGTGACGCAGAAACAGGCGTTGAGGCGTTGCTGTGTTCAAGCGGCACGAGCCAGGCGGTGTTGTCGGTTGTAAGAGGAGTAAGCAGATCTGGGTGAGAAGTCATTTTATTTTTGGAAAGCTGAGGGTGTGTATGCTGCTGGGGGGTTCTGTACGAGCACCGAGGCGCTGGTAGAGAAGCAGTGAGGCGTTAAGAGATAGCTGGTGGAGCAGAGGGGATATGAACGATTATTTACTGTGTTGAAACAGTCATTGTAACAAAAAAAAACTTTCCTTGTTTTAGTTTACTGTAGTATTGTAACGATTGTCGTTTAGGTAAGCTGTAGAAATGTCTAGCAGAAAGTCGCGGAGAGGCAGGGCAGAGAGTACAAAGGAGGTGCAGGAGGACCTTGAGTCTTTAGTTAGAAATTTGGCAATATCAGTGACAGAGTTAAAAAGTACGGTAGGGCAACTAGCTGAGAAGGTGGCAACGTCCGACACACGATATGAGGGCCTGATGTCTGGAATAGAGACAGTGCCGGAGACTGTTTGTACTTCTAAAGGAATAGATGATTGTTTGACTGTAATTAAAGATAGATCCTATATAATAAACTGGAAAGAGTTAGGGGGTGGTAATGTCACATTTTCAAACTATGGGCAAATGCACCCAATGCTATTTTTAAAGAAAATTGAAAAAATATTTAGCGATGCAGGTGTTCCTGAGCATGCGCAGTTGGGTTTAGCTGTTGGTTGCTTAAGAGGTTCGGCGGCCGATTGGGCTAGCGTTAAGGAGGATTGTTTTACCGACTATGTTTCATTTCGTCTAGCATTTAAAAATAGATTCTGGAGCATTGAAAAACAAAGAGAGTTGTATATGACGTTGGTCTACGGTACGCACTCGTATGGCAGTCGAGCAGATTATTTCTTGAATCTGGTGGCGCAAGCAAAGTTTCTTGATAATAAAATTCCGATGCAAAATGTAATTGGAATGTTGGTAAAACATTTTGATGTGGAAGTCCAGCGGGGCATGATTATTAATAATTTTACGTCGCCTGATACGGTAGAGGAATATCTGAGACGTATTGACGAATTGTCTACTGTGGGGGGTTCGAATAGGAACATGGATAATGCGCAGGGTTATAGTAATCGATCTGAAAATAATCGAACAAATTCCGAGCGAGAGATATCGAGAGATAAGCGGTCGACCGCTAGGGGAAATAATGAGGGACATACCGTGCGTTCACTGGCTTGCATGGGGGATCCGGACATCGATCTTTTAAGCGACCCGGAGGATATAGTGCAGGATGATGAAAAGGTTTCGCCGACCATATCGATACATATTTTTGGTACGTTGGTAGAAGTATTGATCGACAGCGGCTCAGATATATGCGCAATCTCGGAGAAATTCTATTCAGAGTTAAGCAATCTCGGGAAATTTCCAATTTTATCGGTCATACGAGGAGTGATCTCTGTAGCAATAGGCGGTAAAACGCAGAAGATAAAGTCGCAAATCTTGATTCCAGTTCAATTAGAAGGAATAGATATGGATGTGAACTGTTTGGTTATTCCACAACTCAATTGCAATTTGATATTTGGATCAAATTGGTTATCCAAGCATCAAGCACGTTTGGATTATCAATATTCACAGCTGAAGCTGATAATAGAAGGGGTTTCCGTAAATACGGAGCTGTCATTCCGGATTGATCCGCAGAAAATATCTATAAACCTCTGCGAGAAAAATGATTATTTGTTTGATGTTGTCGAGAATAAAGCTAGCAGGGTTACGCCACTGGTAGAGTACAGCGTTGATGACGGTGATTCCCGCAGCAAAGGCTACAGCGCGGAGGATATTCGGGCAGCAGCAGCGAAAACTACTTTGAGTGGGAGTGCTAAGGCTTCACTTTTAAGTATTTTGGAAAAATATAGGAATATATTCTCTGATACACCGGGACGCGTCGTCAACTATTTTCATCAAATTGAGCTAGTGGATGAAAATGAATTTAATTTTGTGGCTTATCCTGTTCCTATGGTTTATCGGGATGAAGTTAGAAGGCAGATTGGTGAAATGTTAGCGGCCGGTGTTATTCAAAAGGAAAGAACTTCCTACATTTCGCCGTTAGTTTGCGTGAAGAAAAGGGATGGGAATATTCGCGTGTGTTTGGACGCTCGGGGGCTGAACTCAAAGATGAAGAAGGATTTCGTAAATCCTCCCAATCCGTTTGAATTAATGGCCAATTTTAAACAGGGGCAAATTATGAGCACAATAGACTTGACGCAAGCATATTGGCAAATTCCAGTATTGCCGGATCATACCAAATATCTTGGGTTTGTGTTCGAGGGTGAAACATATAGTTTTTGTCGATTGCCATTTGGGTTATCTACTTCCATGGCAAGTCTTATTCGATGCTTAAATAAGATATTGGAGGGCTGTAATGATTTCGCGCAGTCATATGTTGATGATTTATTAATTTACTCGGAGAACATAGCGGATCACTTAAGGCATTTGAAGACGATTTTTCAGAGACTTAGTGATGCCGGAATTACAATTAAACTAAGAAAATGTCAGTTTATTAGGGAAAAGGTACATTTTCTAGGTCATGTGATCACCTCAAGGGGAATCGAAATAGACGAGGGGCGTGTCAAAAATATTTCTGATTTTCCTGTTCCACGAAATATAAGAGAGCTGCGAGGGTTCTTGGGTCTGGTCAATTATGAACATCGATTCTGCGCCGGGTATGCTGTATTGACCGTGCCATTGTTGAAGTTGCTAAAGAAAGGAGAAAAATGGCGCTGGGGAAGCGATGAAATGGACAGTTTTAGAGCTATTAAGTCAGCCTTCCTAAAGTCCATGATGCTTGTTCATCCTGATTTTAAGCGCACTTTTTATATTCAATGCGATGCTTCCGCATATACCGTGGGGGGCAGTCTTTACCAGATTAGCGATACGGGGGAGAAACAATATGTTTGCCTCATGAGTTCCGTTTTGAAAGGAAGTCAATTAAACTACACCGTAACGGAAAAGGAAGCTTGGGGGGTTGTCTCTTGTTTACGTTTGTGGCGCTTCGATGTAAACTGTACGACATTGAAGGAGGATACAGGTGTGGCGTATGAAAAACTGAAGAGGGAGGCTTCAAAAAGGGTAAAGAGGGCTAAAGTGATGAAACCTGTTACTTTTGACCCGGGCGATAAGGTTCTAGTTAAAACGCATCCTCATTCGTCCGCCGAAGCTAAACTAATTTCTAAATTCTTTTTACTGTATGATGGACCGTATACTGTGTTACAACAAGCGGGACCCAACTCCTATGTCATTGGACATCTTGATGGTAAGATTCGTTCTAAGGAAAATGTAATCAATCTCAAAGCTTATAAGCGGCCTAGCGATGTTGTACTGGAGTAATGTTCCCGGTATTGCCTTGCACCCTCTGCTCTGTTTCGAGACTTAAATCTATGTTACCTCGATTTAAGTGGGGGGTTGTGTAGTGGTTCAGTGTGGTGCGCGGCAACTCGGCAACAGTGGACGAAATTGTGATAGATCGAGCGAGGGGGCAGTTGCCCTTCGCCGCCGAGAGAGGCAACAGGTGACGTGACCATCTTCCGGATTTAAGTATTACCGGGTTCTATGTTTTTTTTAAGTTAGTGAATTATTTTGTGCCTTACTACCATTAAAGTTTGTTAGCCATATCGCCGTCGTTATTACTGAAACCCACGAAAAACCCTGAGTGATATTGTGTAAGCTCGGATCCACTTCACTTATTAGAATATGGCCATATAAACTCACTAGATGATATCCACCTGTATACGGTTTTGCTAATTTCTTTTTTCATCATTTCTGCTGAATCAATAAATGTTTTCTTTGACATGCGGAAAAATTTAGAGAATTGAAAGTTATCATAGCTACAAAGCCATGGTTCCATCATTAAAAAAAAAATCTGAAAAAAACATTTCTCCCATGAATATTATGAAAGGTTTCTTATTCAAACTTTCCATATACAGTTGTAGACGAAAAAGCACCGATTATTAAGTGATAATAAAAATAATCAGAGATTATATACGCGCTTTTCTAAAATAAACAACTTGCAACAAAACCGCGGTTAAAACCAACGCGTTCAAGCGATTCGTGTAACTGACGTCATCAACCCGTGTGTCATCTTGAACCATATTATCACCGCGGCACATAACACAGAAATTATTCGTTGGATTTGATTAATGTTTTTCACCCAATGAACTGTCAACACTGATGGAACAGGCGTAACGCGAATTCATTGCGGCTAGAATGAGAAACGAGAAGGATAGCGCTAGTCAGGGCAAAACATCGTGGTCCATTGTGGTATTTCCATATATGTTCTAAGGATTTTTGGTGAATGTTTGTTTTTAGTGACGTTAAAGATTAATATTGATAGTTTGCGACAGTTATTATAAACATTTTTATGCCTGACAGTCTTCAAGAGCTGTTGTTTTATGTGATATTTGTTTAAAAATGGTTGAATCTTGCAGTGCGGTGAATGGGGTATTTTCCAACTTGGTGATATTGTCCTATTGATAGCTGAAATCGATTGTTTACACCATTTATCAATTGGTATACACTTTGCACGCGCTTTTTTCACTCATTTGCTGAAAAAAATACATTTGAAATTCATACCACCAAAGTGGGTTCATTTAAAACTTCATGTTTGTCCCTCCGAAAAAATCAGCCAATAGGAATCGATTTTTTTAAAGGTTCTCATTAGAATGTGACGATATTTTTATCAAGGATAAGCATCAGCGCTATTGCCATGCACAAGAAAATTTCATGAAAGTTCACGACTTAGCAACCCTTCTTTATTCCGATCAACAGTGATGACTGAATGGTGTACCTGTCTATATTATGTATGTATAGCTGTAGGTCGACATAACTTGGCAACATTGTGGTTCAACGAGGGTCAAACCGTTGACTTTTGACTTTTGACAGTGACAGAGTTCCGTACCGTGTTTCGTGCTGTTGATTTTGTGTTATCCGTTTTGTAACCTTTATATATTGAATACTTTTGAACATTGCAATACAAAAAAATGTCTGTAAAAAAGTGTCTTATTAAGGTGTGTTCAAACACAAGTATCAATTTACCTGATAAAATATTCTTATCAGATCCGATAGACCTTGACACTATTATTCTTTGGTACCAGGCTGCAAGTATTGAATTCCTACCACTATGTTATACTGTTGTGATGTAAGTTTATTAACAGAGCTAAAGTTTTTCAAATTATATTAAATCACGGTTTATTTTCAGTTGGCAAATGATGCAGAAAACTGGCAATATGACAAGACAATTGGGCAGAGGTTACGACTAAAACCCGGCGTGAAACCACACAGGAACCTGTCAGTTCAGAGTTTAGGTACGTCACAATTGAAACACACATGAAAAAAGAGGGAAGCTGAGATGTTAGAAATATTAGAAATAAAAAACTTCACTGCAAGAGAAAACCAAGGGCAAAATTATTTGATGAATCGCAGCCAGGTACAAGCAGAGATCTGCATCATGATGAATCTTGCCAGCAAGACTCGAGTATGCTACCCCTGAAGAAAGCTACCAAAGGAGTCCAAGTTAATGTTGATACGAAAACAGTGTCAACCAGCACACTACCTCATATGGCAGAAAAGGCTGTTGCCACTAGTCATCTCAAACTAAAACAATTGGTTGAAAAGTGCACAGGGATTTGTAGTGATAGCACTAATGGCTCAAGTGGTAGTTCCTTCCCGCAGCTATTAAGCACTTCATCAGGAAGCAATGGAGCAAGACTGAAGACATCAAAAGAGGGACTAGAAATATCTAAATTAGAGAACAATAGTCGGTTTTTCTTAGGTTTGCCTGAACACTGTTTCTATATTGTAAATTTATTAGTTGAAGGTGGACTGGATTACATTGATGTTTTGATCACAATGACAAAAATTAGGACAAACGATCAGTTTTCAAGAATAGGAATTGATTTTGGTAAAAGCACAAGTGCAATTTCTAAAATTTTTAATAAAACTGTTGTAGTAATGGCTCCTTTAATGATACAGTTGATTGTTTGGCCTCCCAGTTGGAAAATCAAAAAATTAGTACCAAATCAATTTAAAGCCTATTACAATAATGTACAATCAATTATTGATTGCTTTGAAGTTGAAATCGAAAAACCTTCAAATGCCCTGCATCAGGCTAAAACATGGAGTGAATATAAAAAGTGTAATACTATAAAGTATCTAGTGAGTTGTACTCCTAATGGGCCGATAAACATTATTTCTAGTGGGTTTGGAGGATGTACAAATTGTTGAGAAATCAGACTTCATTAATGTGATTCCAGAAAACTGCATAATAATGGCAGATAGAGGTTTCAAACAATTATTTTGTAAAACACCAATTTTTCCTTTTGTAGGTTAAAATACTTGTATAGGACTTATTTGAGGCTGTTCTTATAATATAATTTTTTGGAGTATCTATAATTTTTTATTCCCCTTACGACACATTATCATTTAGCAACCTCAAAATAAATAAATTACTCGAATTTACCAACGCTCTATGACATAAAAACAACTAATTATTTAGTAAAGTGTATACCTTGTGTATTCAATTTTTGAAAAGATTATTAGATCAATAATTGTATGGAATTCAGGATTATTTTAACTGGTCAGCTTGTGGTATATATCAATATTTTTGTTCATCTACAAATACCTTAAAACATTTGCAGCTACCTACTAATGTAAATAGTTAAAAAACATTTCATTAAGAAAATACTTTTTTAAAACATAAGTGCTTTATTCAATCAAATAAATTAGACAAGAATATATGCATAATATAGACTAAATACATTTGCATCATGTATCACAGTTTGCTAATATTAATCATACATTTTCTGATGACACCTGAATAAAATAAACTAGCAGCTAAACCTGATGTTGCCTGGTCAAAATACATTTTTCTATCTTATATATGTGCCCAAATCTTGGTACCATTAAGTGTATATTGTAGTGTATACATTGTTAACTGATTAATTCAGTTACTAAATCAGTTTATTATAAATCAAATTTGAAGATAATAAAAATTTAAAAGTAGGTATTGAAAATATTAGTATAATAAACTTTGATACATTTATATAAAATCTGATACATGAAAGTTTATACCTACTAATGTAAATAGTTAAAAAACATTTCATTAAGAAAATACTTTTTTAAAACATAAGTGCTTTATTCAATCAAATAAATTAGACAAGAATATATGCATAATATAGACTAAATACATTTGCATAATGTATCACAGTTTGCAAATATTAATCATACATTTTCTGATGACACCTGAATAAAATAAACTAGCAGCTAAACCTGATGTTGCCTGGTCAAAATACATTTTTCTATCTTATATATGTGCCCAAATCTTGGTACCATTAAGTGTATGTTGTAGTGTATACATTGTTAACTGATTAATTCAGTTACTAAATCAGTTTATTATAAATCAAATTTGAAGATAATAAAAATTTAAAAGTAGGTATTGAAAATATTAGTATAATAAACTTTGATACATTTATATAAAATCTGATACATGAAAGTTTATACCACATATTATATTTCAATACACATAAACAATTGAGTTGTCTTTTAGTCAAATCTATAGGTAAATTGTTGACATTACAAGTTGAGTACATTATAGTAGATCTATTGAATCAGTTTTAGGAAGATAGCTTTTTGCCAAAATAAACTTGCTTTTTGCAGCAAATCCTTACAAAAAGAAATGTCAAGTTCAACTTCTACAATTGATACATCTTTATTCACTTCAAAATTTGGTGATGCAACACAAAATAATCCCTTCTTTCTGCCCAACAATAGCATTTGCAGTTGAATTTGGGCAAAAGGTTTCTTACCTATGACTCCATCATGTAAGTATTGCTTAAGTGTCGATTCTTTTGATGGGCACTTTATTTCAATACAAAACTCAACATTTACAGCATCAGGGCTAGCTCCAAATCTAGGATATCTCTTATCTATAAATATTCCTACTTTTTCTACTTTTATTAGTTTCTTTCTTGCCAACCTTCAATAATTCATCCTCTAATGATAATCCCCTCTTCATAGCCTTTGTGGACTTGAATTTTGCAGCACCCAAAATAGACTCTGACTCTACTAAACATCCATCATATGTTGTACTCTGTGCTGCTTCATAAAACTTCGATGCAGTAATACGTGCATACCTTATCTCAAACCATGTACCAGTATTGGATTGATCTTTCGTTTGATTTAAAATTTCTTTACAAGGCTGATCATTCATTTCTTGCTGACAATACTGAATAAAATTTTCAGCAGTGATGCTGCTACTGTTTCTTACAAATTTATTTATTAAATGATATAGGGATACTTTATCAATAGCATTCTCAGTTTTGTAAATGCTGTTGCTTTTGTTTTCTAATCCTTTTTCTAGTAGTTTTTTTAAGAAAGAATTATTGTGTGATGCAACTATGGGAATATTCTTAAATAGCTCGTTCAATTTTGCTGCTTTCAATGAAGAACCTAGTTTTGCTAAAATCTGTTTTCGCCAGTAGCACTCAACACTTGTTACAGAAGGTTCTGTAGAATGTCGTAGTAGCCAAAATATCAGAGCTACACCATGCTTGCACCCTCCTAGAAATTAAAATATAGTACATTATAAAGACACAAGGAATTATTAAACTCAATACCTTCACCGGCTGGGCAGCTATGACACACACTATGTGTAATCTTCTCTTCAGCCTCATTAATGCAAATTGTCACCTGATATCCTTTTTCGTGGATCTTGTGTTCTGGAGTTACATGGCACTTTACAGTACATATTGATCCCTCTCGCATCAGCTGGACAAATCCGATAGCTTGATCCCCATACGATTGCTTGCCACTTCTAAGAACAATATGGTTATTAAAATATGTTTCCTAACAATCGAAAAAGTACCCACCTTTGTGTTTTCACATTTCTCACATTTGCTTTGACAAAGTCTGCATTGTGTCGATAGTATTCATCGATCATCTCGTAAGCTACTTTCGGTAAATTCGAAGAATCTGCTTTCACGAAGTTTTGTTCCATATTTTAATTGTGTATTTAAAAAGCTAAATTCCAAATCAGTCACTAGCACAAGATAAATCATAATACCAAATCGTCAACAACATAGCCAGAATGCATCATAACCTTTAAATTATCTGTCAAAAAAGTCTGTAGAACAAAATCTCCTGTCCTTGTCACACTGTAATCGCCGAACAAATGTAGAGTCACATTCTAAGAAGGGGGCGGAGAAAATATTACTACGTCACGCGAGATATTATTACGTCACACAGTTGGCGGCAAATTTTATTTTTAAACTTTCAAGCCGAGTTTTTGTTACTTCTTGTTCAAAGAGAAATGTAAAATTACTCAATATATAGTTTTTAGATGTAAAACTTCAATTTGGAATAAAAAAATTTTTTTTGGAAAATACCCCATTGTTGCAATAGACGCAGAGAAGATGTGAAAATGAAGTTTCACAGGTTGGTTTTAATCATCCCATTCATTTTTGTGTGAGAATTACCTGTTAATTTTGGTAATTCGAGAAAATATCTGGATTTTTAGGATACCTACAAATCCTAACATGAGGAAGTTGTGGTTACATGCTATAAGGAGAGAAAACTTTACTCCCAGTACAACAACGGTAATTTGTGAAAAGCGTTTCACTCCAGAGGATTATTAAGTTAGTGTTCATGGAAATAAGGTACTAAAAAAGGTGGCAGTTCCATCTGTGTTTGATTTTCCAGCCCATCTCAAGAAAGAACCTAGACATCGAAGGGTTTTGAAAAGAAAACATGAATACATAATTTCTAGAATGAACTATGGTATAACCTATATTGTATTATAATGAAAAACTGTGCATCTACAGTATTGTTAATGCCATTGTGCACAAATATTTTATATATATATATACATATATATCGTGGGTTGACTATTATACTGTTCTAATAGTACAAAAGTAGTTATGGAGAAAAACGTAATTAAATATTCACATTTTACTATTTTCACTATTATTACCTACTTTTTTTTTGAAATGGTACTCGAGTTGAGAGCTAGGTATCTGCATGTATAAGGAGAGAAAACTTTACTCCCAGTACAACAACGGTAATTTGTGAAAAGCGTTTCACTCCAGAGGATTATTAAGTTAGTGTTCATGGAAATAAGGTACTAAAAAAGGTGGCAGTTCCATCTGTGTTTGATTTTCCAGCCCATCTCAAGAAAGAACCTAGACATCGAAGGGTTTTGAAAAGAAAACATGAATACATAATTTCTAGAATGAACTATGGTATAACCTATATTGTATTATAATGAAAAACTGTGCATCTACAGTATTGTTAATGCCATTGTGCACAAATATTTTATATATATATATACATATATATATCGTGGGTTGACTATTATACTGTTCTAATAGTACAAAAGTAGTTATGGAGAAAAACGTAATTAAATATTCACATTTTACTATTTTCACTATTATTACCTACTTTTTTTTTGAAATGGTACTCGAGTTGAGAGCTAGGTATCTGGTTAACGCATTTCTTAGGTTATTCATTAGATTTTTTTGCTTATAATATTTAAAACAATAAATAAACAAATGGCTGATAGAACAAAAATATTTTATTAACATAATCAGATTTACAAAATATGAAAATATTTGTTCTAACAACACAGGAATGATAGAAAACTAAACGATAACTTATTTATTTTTATAAAAAGTAACATTTTATTTCAACATTTTTTATTTTTTGTATCCCTATTACTTGTTTTTTGCCTTTTTGTGACGTATTTTTTCTTTTTTATAAATATCAGCATCGTTATATTGTTTAAAAAAAGTTTTTATAAACATTAGGTCAACGGGTGGCATAAATTTGAATAGTTTTGTAAGGTCAAGAACTTTCGCAAAAGGCAGAAGGCATTTTACTGGTTCAGAAGCGCTTCGTATTTCGGGCAATAAACTTGAAACATGATTGGTTGTTTTTGTTCTGGTTGTGTTTGATGCCGAGATTGGAACTTCAATATAATTGGAGTCTTTATCGTGACTAACCTTGTAATAAATTTTTTTAAGGTCAGTTCTGGTATACTTTAATTGCCTTAAAGATGAATAGGGTACTTTTTTAAAATTCAGAGTTTGTGATGCTTCTTTATAAAGAAAGAAAGAAACAAAAAATCTTGGGGCTTCATGTGAAAAACATTAAAAGGTTTCCTCTGGTTAACCGTCGGTAGAAGGCGTAGCAATCCCAGAGGGCTAAAAATTTCTACTCCGGATAATTTTCTTTCTATCTGGCTGTGCAAATTATCAACTTCTTGGACACTACTATGTCCAGGCTCTCCAAACTTGTGGTCTATTTGCTCAAGTGTAGGATGCTCTTCCAGAAACTTCATTAATGCTAGACTCATTATTGAATTCTTGTTTTGTGGCACGCAGGAATCAGACCACAAAATTATTTTTTTGATAAACGGAAAGTCCACAATAACCATGTTTAATATCTTTATTAGACCTGAAGCGATGTCGCTGCCCTGCCGTCCATGTGTGCCCTCGCTCCAAATACAACAATAGGCTTGCTTTTTTAAACTGCAATGAGCAGTAAGGTTGTAAGTATTTAGTTTCCTACTGTAGAAGAAACATGACACATTAGAACGTGGCAGTGCAAATACATTCTCAAGGTCAAAACATATTATAGGCTGATCTTCATTGGCCCTGTCTAAATCACGTTCTAATTTAGTGATTTTTTTTCCCTGAACATGTTTTTCAAAAATACACTTTTCTTCATCGGTGAAGCCACCTTCCTTTTTCAATCTGATCTCCTCACACACATCACAACGATCTTTTTTTTTGTTTTAAAAAGTCAATATTATATTCGTAATTAAAAATGTTTCTGTAAATATGTTTTTTAACTGGTTGTAGTTGTTTTTCAGTACAAAACTCGACATACAAAGAGTACAGCTTATTCATATTCAATGTTCCATCAAGATACTCTTTTTTCGTGTCGACTCTACAATAGTGAGCCTCAACTCGTGGTAGTTGGCTTATATGTAGGCGAACGTTGTCTTTACTGGTAGCGCCTATGGTTTTTTTAGTATGACGACCTTGTTGTGATGATGATGGGATACCTGTTAGTTCGTCCTTTTTTTTCTCGTGAAAATAATTAATTCTTTGCTGGCTTATGTCCAAAGTAGATAAAAGAAGGTCTTGCATACACGAATTTTGTCATTGGCTACATGAAAATGGTATTTGAAGGTATATTTTCGACGCGAGTTCTCCCTGGAAGTCTGTGTTCTTGCTTTTGTCGATTCTTTCAGTGTTTTTTGCATAAAAATGCCACTTAGAATCATTTGATAAACCCCAAACCCTTTGAATATGTTTCTCTCTCATACAAACTTATTTTTTGCACAAGAGAATTTACAGCTGCTTTCACAATTTTTCACGGTTTTTAAATTTCTACCCCTTCGATTTGTTCCTTTTACATTTTTGTATTCCTGACCTGATTGACATAATGCTTTATTTACGTTCATCTTCAAGTTTCTGGTTGCCGTTTGCGTTTTCTACTGAGTTTTCTACCTTCTGTTACAGTCATATTCTCCCGACGTGTTACTTGGTTGCTTTCCTCTGGGGCGTTTTGGTTGACCGTCCGTTCATTGGCTTCTCGAGGTGAATTCATTTCTGAAATAATAATAATACCAGTTGCTATGGACACGTTGGTATGCCCACAATTTGTTTTTTACATACACATAACTATACGAATGAAATATTATAGTAATTAATACTCAAATTTATGCAAAAAGCTATCTAAACTAACCAGACTAACACAATATAACTCAAATTACCTGTCTCATAGGCGACGCTGGCTGATAAACTGACACTTTCGATTTCTTCATCCGATGTATGATCCGATGGAATGAAATCCGGATCTCGACAAGAATCATCGCTGTCCTCAAAATATTCGAACTGACAATTTTCTGACGGGCTTCTATTTGCAGAAGTTGACCTAAAACCAGAAAAATTATTATTCCCTTTAATTTGTTCTAATAGTGGATCTAATAATATAGAGCACAAACATTTTCGGATAGAAAATATAATATTATATTGTTCTAATAGAACAATATAATATTATATTTTCGGATAGAAAATATAATATTATATTGTTCTAATAGAACAATATAATATTATATTGTTCTAATAGAACATTTCTATTATTAGTTTGAGGTTAAGTCACTAAAATAAAGTTTTTTTTCGTATTTAGCTTGATTTTGGTGAACAAATTTATAAAAATATGGATTAGAATACTTACGGATTCGTATTAATATCCATTTTTTAAAAATACACAGAAACCACAGTTTTAAACTAAGAAAAACGTAACACCACGTTGTTTGTTATTGTCACACTATGTACTAAAACGTTAATACTGTAGTGCTCTATCAGCGCCAAAATGTAAAATCTAATTGGCTGGTTAGTTAGAACACTATAATAGTAACAGAAATTTGAATTTTAGACATAGAACAATTTAATATTGTTTCTAATTTCGTTTGTAGAAGAATTTGAGTAATGCTTTCTATTTAGATAGAACAGTAATGAAAAACTCTATTGGTAAACTCTGAAACTTTGTTTCCTGCCAAAACTGCTGATAGAACAATATAATATTCAACTCACGATATATATACATATATATATATATATATATAACTTGAGACATGGTCATTGTCGTCTAGACCAGTTAGGTGAAAAATTAAAGCTTCCGCCTTTTGTTGGGTACTTCGACAAAAAATTAAGCAAAGAGGACTCTTTATACTTTTTTTATACACTCTAGCTTTCAATGGACTTTGCCATCATCATGCTTCAAGTGGCTTCACGCTGTAATGCTTTCATGTTCTAAAAATTTTTAATCTGTTTTTAACTTGTTCTTGTCACACAGTTGTGTGTATTTTATATAATTTTGACCATTGTACCATTTATCCAGCTTTCACCATGTTACTGGGTGTTTCCCTCATCCTGAACGTAAACAACAATTAGCAACATCCTCACATACTCTCCTGATGATGATGGCAAAGTCCATTGAAAGCTAGAGAGGATAAAAAAAGTATAAAGAGTCCTCTTTGCTTAAATTTTTGTCGAAGTACCCAACATACTACTCTCCTGATGATGATGGCAAAGTCCATTGAAAGCTAGAGAGAATTAAAAAAAGTATAAAGAGTCCTCTTTGCTTAAATTTTTGTCGAAGTACCCAACAAAAGGCGAATATATATATATATATATAACATGAGACGTGGTCATTGTCGTCTAGACCAGTTAGGTGAAAAATTAAAGCTTCCGCCTTTTGTTGGGTACTTCGACAAGATTTAAGCAAAGAGGACTCTTTATACTTTTTTTAATTCTCTCTAGCTTTCAATGGACTTTGCCATCATCATCAGGAGCTGCAATTACAATGATAACAGTAGCAACAAAGGTGTAAAATGAATTTAAATTGACTCAACTTACAGTAGTATGTGAGGATGTTGCTAATTGTTGTTTACGTATAGGATGAGGGAAACGTCCAGTAACATGGTGAGAGCTGAATAGATTGCACAATAGTCAAAATTTATACAAAACATGACAAGAACAAGTTAAAAACAGATTAAAAATTATTTAAAAAATTAGAGCATTACATCGTGAAACCACCTGATGATTGCACAAATTAGTGGTCATGGAATGATGAATTGATGAGTGACATGAAACCCTTTGACAGAAGGCCGAAGGATGTCAATGTCAGTATTGAAAGATGGAACGAATTGTGGGCGTGTGCCAAAACGTTGCCAAATCACTTCAGATGATGAGATTTTCAGAATTTTATGTTAGAATTTGTTAAACCGACCAGAGGCAGTTGAATAAACTATATTATTATTAATGGGAATTTAAATTAACAATTATTAATAAATCGTGAGGAGAGAATTATTATATTTTGAGTGGAATGAATTTTACTGGTGGAAACGGCCAAAACACAGATTCTAATTATGGTTGTGAAGAGTTGAAATTTGGGGAGATATGTAAGTTCTCCAATTTTTCGCAGTTTAGCAAATATGAGTAAATGACACTCAGTTGTTTAACATCTGTCTTTTTGTTGATACAGTTGTTATTCATGAAAATGTGGGACATTTCCAGGAATAAACGTTTGGAAAGGTGTTTTTCTTTATCAAGAACTTTGATACTTGTGTAATTCATAGAATGCCCTGTTGTGTTAACATGAGATGCTAGAGCGCATCTTTCAGGATGAAGCCTAGCATCACTTTTGTGTGATGTAATCCTTCCTTTAAGAGATCTGGAGGTCTGACCTATGTATATTTGGTTGCAGTTGTTGCAATTGATGGAGTAGACTGTGTTGGTTAAGCCAAGCAGCGGGACTTTGTCTTTCATTTTTGAAAAAATGCAGTTTATAGTGAGGACGGATTTGCAAGCAATTCGAAAGTTCAAAGGACTGCACAATCTGATTAGCTTAGGGGTCAGTTCCTTGATGTAGGGCAGGACAGCAAAACCAGGTCTGGAGTCCGGGTTGGTGCTAGTACTGTTAGGATTGATGTTATTATTGGGAATTACATCAGTTCCGTTATTAGGGGTTGTGCGACTATTACCTGCATCACCAGAGTTCGGCAAAATATTGGAAGGTGAACTAAAAATGATCTTGTTAATCAGACACTTCAGATAACCATTATTGATGAACAGTTTTGATAGTTTACGTAAATTTGAGGTGTGGAAGGTATTATCTGAGATGCTGATTACCCTTGTTTTCATCTGTTTTACCAAATTGATTTTAATCCCTAGCTTATGGTATGACCTAAAATTGAGAAACCGACCTGAGGCCATAGGTTTCTGGTACCAGTCTACCAATAAACTGTTGTTGTTGGTGCGAATGAGTCTTGTGTCTAGAAAGGGGACAGACAGGTTCTCATCTTCTTTTTCAATGGTAAATTGGATGTAGGGGTCATAGCTGTTGAATTCTCTGACAATACCATCCAGACCTATGGAAGGGAGGCATAAAATAATGTCATCTACGTATTTTTTTATGAAGAAGAGGTTATAGGGTAGTGTCGGAATGACAGTATCAAGCAGATCATCCATGACATATTCCGCCAAAATTGGTGACAGAACAGATCCCATAGGACAACCATGTGTTTGAGAATATATTTTGTTGTTGAAAGAGAAATAATTGTTATGAAAAAGGAATGTTATAATGTTGGTGAAAGATTCTAGAGATATGTTGCAGTGTTGACTTATCTCATTCCAGTGTTTATTAATAGTTCTTGTACATGCATCCAGATAGATGTTGCTGAATAGCGACACCACATCAAGACTGGCGATAATATGATCGGCTGGTATTGTCAATCTATTGAACTGACGAGAGACTTATGAGTCTTTGATGTAGTAATCATTATCTGCATGTGCTGATTTTAGTGTTGTCGATATTAATGAAGACAAAGCCTGGGTGGCTGAACCTATTGATGCAACTATAGGTCTTACTGAGAGTACAGGTTTGTGAATTTTCGGAAGTGCATAAAATTTGGGAGGGACAGAGTTATAAGTGGTCAAAGTTCTTTTTTGTTCTTGGGTTATTTGTCCAGTGCTGAGGAGTTCCTTAACAATGTCATTACTTTTCTTTTCCACTTTAAGTGTGGGATCTTTATTAATTTCATGATATGATGGGTCATCATTGATGAGATTGTTGCAAAGATCTAAATAGTGTTGTTTAAGCATTATCACTGTAACATTGCCTTTGTCAGATCTTGTAACCATAAGTTCAGGATGTTGTTTTAGAAGTTATGTTTAAAAGGTTGTGATAAAAGGAATGTTTTTTATTAAGATTGTTATTATGATAGTAGTTAGTGATGAGGTTAGTGGAACGAGTTGTGAAAATGTTTCTTTCAGTGTCATCACTTATGGAGGATGCTATTGTGTCTACATCCGCTAGGATTGATCTGATTGGAATGTCATTGTTAACAATCGGCTCTACACTGAACTTAGGACCCAAGGAAAGAAATTTTAATATGTCCTGAGGGATGTCAACGTTACTGAGATTTTTTATCCAATTTTGTTGAGTGTTGAGGAAGGTTTTTTTGGTGTCATTCAACAATCTGTCAAACTTACGAGTGTTGGAGTTTTTTATGTTATGAAAGATTTTATTGTAATGTCTGAGTTGTCTATATTTGAAATTATCAAAAATTAAGGGAGAAGTGGAAGAAATTATGTCACTTTGGAGTGAATTGAGTATGGAATGAAGTTTTTTCAACTGTCTGTGGCAGGAAGATATCTCAAGCGTGAGTATTTTGTCACCTAACCTGTGCAGACGATTTTTCATCCCATCTTCTATTGAATGGCTTTCTAGTAAGTGTGTGATTGATGTTAAACGGTGGGTGATGTGATGTGGTGTAATGCCATGTTTTCTACATTTTAATAAGAAAATCCGTCGATTGATCTCCTGTGCCAGTCGTTTTCTGCCCTTGATCCAGTCCTTCATCATTCTTACTGCCTGGTTCCCATGACGTTCCGTGATGTTATTGAAAAACCCCAAATCTGTGGATGTAACATGAGACGTGGTCATTGTCGTCTAGACCAGTTAGGTGAAAAATTAAAGCTTCCGCCTTTTGTTGGGTACTTCGACAAGATTTAAGCAAAGAGGACTCTATACTTTTTTTAATTCTCTCTAGCTTTCAATGGACTTTGCCATCATCATCAGGAGCTGCAATTACAATGATAACAGTAGCAACAAAGGTGTAAAATGAATTTAAATTGACTCAACTTACAGTAGTATGTGAGGATGTTGCTAATTGTTGTTTACGTATAGGATGAGGGAAACGTCCAGTAACATGGTGAGAGCTGAATAGATTGCACAATAGTCAAAATTTATACAAAACATGACAAGAACAAGTTAAAAACAGATTAAAAATTATTTAAAAAATTAGAGCATTACATCGTGAAACCACCTGATGATTGCACAAATTAGTGGTCATGGAATGATGAATTGATGAGTGACATGAAACCCTTTGACAGAAGGCCGAAGGATGTCAATGTCAGTATTGAAAGATGGAACGAATTGTGGGCGTGTGCCAAAACGTTGCCAAATCACTTCAGATGATGAGATTTTCAGAATTTTATGTTAGAATTTGTTAAACCGACCAGAAGCAGTTGAATAAACTATATTATTATTAATGGGAATTTAAATTAACAATTATTAATAAATCGTGAGGAGAGAATTATTATATTTTGAGTGGAATGAATTTTACTGGTGGAAACGGCCAAAACACAGATTCTAATTATGGTTGTGAAGAGTTGAAATTTGGGGAGATATGTAAGTTCTCCAATTTTTCGCAGTTTAGCAAATATGAGTAAATGACACTCAGTTGTTTAACATCTGTCTTTTTGTTGATACAGTTGTTATTCATGAAAATGTGGGACATTTCCAGGAATAAACGTTTGGAAAGGTGTTTTTCTTTATCAAGAACTTTGATACTTGTGTAATTCATAGAATGCCCTGTTGTGTTAACATGAGATGCTAGAGCGCATCTTTCAGGATGAAGCCTAGCATCACTTTTGTGTGATGTAATCCTTCCTTTAAGAGATCTGGAGGTCTGACCTATGTATATTTGGTTGCAGTTGTTGCAATTGATGGAGTAGACTGTGTTGGTTAAGCCAAGCAGCGGGACTTTGTCTTTCATTTTTGAAAAAATGCAGTTTATAGTGAGGACGGATTTGCAAGCAATTCGAAAGTTCAAAGGACTGCACAATCTGATCAGCTTAGGGGTCAGTTCCTTGATGTAGGGCAGGACAGCAAAACCAGGTCTGGAGTCCGGGTTGGTGCTAGTACTGTTAGGATTGATGTTATTATTGGGAATTACATCAGTTCCGTTATTAGGGGTTGTGCGACTATTACCTGCATCACCAGAGTTCGGCAAAATATTGGAAGGTGAACTAAAAATGATCTTGTTAATCAGACACTTCGGATAACCATTATTGATGAACAGTTATCCGAAGTGTCTGATTAACAAGATCATTTTTAGTTCACCTTCCAATATTTTGCCGAACTCTGGTGATGCAGGTAATAGTCGCACAACCCCTAATAACGGAACTGATGTAATTCCCAATAATAACATCAATCCTAACAGTACTAGCACCAACCCGGACTCCAGACCTGGTTTTGCTGTCCTGCCCTACATCAAGGAACTGACCCCTAAGCTGATCAGATTGTGCAGTCCTTTGAACTTTCGAATTGCTTGCAAATCCGTCCTCACTATAAACTGCATTTTTTCAAAAATGAAAGACAAAGTCCCGCTGCTTGGCTTAACCAACACAGTCTACTCCATCAATTGCAACAACTGCAACCAAATATACATAGGTCAGACCTCCAGATCTCTTAAAGGAAGGATTACATCACACAAAAGTGATGCTAGGCTTCATCCTGAAAGATGCGCTCTAGCATCTCATGTTAACACAACAGGGCATTCTATGAATTACACAAGTATCAAAGTTCTTGATAAAGAAAAACACCTTTCCAAACGTTTATTCCTGGAAATGTCCCACATTTTCATGAATAACAACTGTATCAACAAAAAGACAGATGTTAAACAACTGAGTGTCATTTACTCATATTTGCTAAACTGCGAAAAATTGGAGAACTTACATATCTCCCCAAATTTCAACTCTTCACAACCATAATTAGAATCTGTGTTTTGGCCGTTTCCACCAGTAAAATTCATTCCACTCAAAATATAATAATTCTCTCCTCACGATTTATTAATAATTGTTAATTTAAATTCCCATTAATAATAATATAGTTTATTCAACTGCCTCTGGTCGGTTTAACAAATTCTAACATAAAATTCTGAAAATCTCATCATCTGAAGTGATTTGGCAACGTTTTGGCACACGCCCACAATTCGTTCCATCTTTCAATACTGACATTGACATCCTTCGGCCTTCTGTCAAAGGGTTTCATGTCACTCATCAATTCATCATTCCATGACCACTAATTTGTGCAATCATCAGGTGGTTTCACGATGTAATGCTCTAATTTTTTAAATAATTTTTAATCTGTTTTTAACTTGTTCTTGTCATGTTTTGTATAAATTTTGACTATTGTGCAATCTATTCAGCTCTCACCATGTTACTGGACGTTTCCCTCATCCTATACGTAAACAACAATTAGCAACATCCTCACATACTACTGTAAGTTGAGTCAATTTAAATTCATTTTACACCTTTGTTGCTACTGTTATCATTGTAATTGCAGCTCCTGATGATGATGGCAAAGTCCATTGAAAGCTAGAGAGAATTAAAAAAAGTATAAAGAGTCCTCTTTGCTTAAATCTTGTCGAAGTACCCAACAAAAGGCGGAAGCTTTAATTTTTCACCTAACTGGTCTAGACGACAATGACCACGTCTCATGTTACATCCACAGATTTGGGGTTTTTCAATAACATCACGGAACGTCATGGGAACCAGGCAGTAAGAATGATGAAGGACTGGATCAAGGGCAGAAAACGACTGGCACAGGAGATCAATCGACGGATTTTCTTATTAAAATGTAGAAAACATGGCATTACACCACATCACATCACCCACCGTTTAACATCAATCACACACTTACTAGAAAGCCATTCAATAGAAGATGGGATGAAAAATCGTCTGCACAGGTTAGGTGACAAAATACTCACGCTTGAGATATCTTCCTGCCACAGACAGTTGAAAAAACTTCATTCCATACTCAATTCACTCCAAAGTGACATAATTTCTTCCACTTCTCCCTTAATTTTTGATAATTTCAAATATAGACAACTCAGACATTACAATAAAATCTTTCATAACATAAAAAACTCCAACACTCGTAAGTTTGACAGATTGTTGAATGACACCAAAAAAACCTTCCTCAACACTCAACAAAATTGGATAAAAAATCTCAGTAACGTTGACATCCCTCAGGACATATTAAAATTTCTTTCCTTGGGTCCTAAGTTCAGTGTAGAGCCGATTGTTAACAATGACATTCCAATCAGATCAATCCTAGCGGATGTAGACACAATAGCATCCTCCATAAGTGATGACACTGAAAGAAACATTTTCACAACTCGTTCCACTAACCTCATCACTAACTACTATCATAATAACAATCTTAATAAAAAACATTCCTTTTATCACAACCTTTTAAACATAACTTCTAAAACAACATCCTGAACTTATGGTTACAAGATCTGACAAAGGCAATGTTACAGTGATAATGCTTAAACAACACTATTTAGATCTTTGCAACAATCTCATCAATGATGACCCATCATATCATGAAATTAATAAAGATCCCACACTTAAAGTGGAAAAGAAAAGTAATGACATTGTTAAGGAACTCCTCAGCACTGGACAAATAACCCAAGAACAAAAAAGAACTTTGACCACTTATAACTCTGTCCCTCCCAAATTTTATGCACTTCCGAAAATTCACAAACCTGTACTCTCAGTAAGACCTATAGTTGCATCAATAGGTTCAGCCACCCAGGCTTTGTCTTCATTAATATCGACAACACTAAAATCAGCACATGCAGATAATGATTACTACATCAAAGACTCATTTGAAGTCTCTCGTCAGTTCAATAGATTGACAATACCAGCCGATCATATTATCGCCAGTCTTGATGTGGTGTCGCTATTCAGCAACATCTATCTGGATGCATGTACAAGAACTATTAATAAACACTGGAATGAGATAAGTCAACACTGCAACATATCTCTAGAATCTTTCACCAACATTATAACATTCCTTTTTCATAACAATTATTTCTCTTTCAACAACAAAATATATTCTCAAACACATGGTTGTCCTATGGGATCTGTTCTGTCACCAATTTTGGCGGAATATGTCATGGATGATCTGCTTGATACTGTTATTCCGACACTACCCTATAACCTCTTCTTCATAAAAAAATACGTAGATGACATTATTTTATGCCTCCCTTCCATAGGTCTGGATGGTATTGTCAGAGAATTCAACAGCTATGACCCCTACATCCAATTTACCATTGAAAAAGAAGATGAGAACCTGTCTGTCCCCTTTCTAGACACAAGACTCATTCGCACCAACAACAACAGTTTATTGGTAGACTGGTACCAGAAACCTATGGCCTCAGGTCGGTTTCTCAATTTTAGGTCATACCATAAGCTAGGGATGAAAATCAATTTGGTAAAACAGATGAAAACAAGGGTAATCAGCATCTCAGATAATACCTTCCACACCTCAAATTTACGTAAACTATCAAAACTGTTCATCAATAATGGTTATCCGAAGTGTCTGATTAACAAGATCATTTTTAGTTCACCTTCCAATATTTTGCCGAACTCTGGTGATGCAGGTAATAGTCGCACAACCCCTAATAACGGAACTGATGTAATTCCCAATAATAACATCAATCCTAACAGTACTAGCACCAACCCGGACTCCAGACCTGGTTTTGCTGTCCTGCCCTACATCAAGGAACTGACCCCTAAGCTGATCAGATTGTGCAGTCCTTTGAACTTTCGAATTGCTTGCAAATCCGTCCTCACTATAAACTGCATTTTTTCAAAAATGAAAGACAAAGTCCCGCTGCTTGGCTTAACCAACACAGTCTACTCCATCAATTGCAACAACTGCAACCAAATATACATAGGTCAGACCTCCAGATCTCTTAAAGGAAGGATTACATCACACAAAAGTGATGCTAGGCTTCATCCTGAAAGATGCGCTCTAGCATCTCATGTTAACACAACAGGGCATTCTATGAATTACACAAGTATCAAAGTTCTTGATAAAGAAAAACACCTTTCCAAACGTTTATTCCTGGAAATGTCCCACATTTTCATGAATAACAACTGTATCAACAAAAAGACAGATGTTAAACAACTGAGTGTCATTTACTCATATTTGCTAAACTGCGAAAAATTGGAGAACTTACATATCTCCCCAAATTTCAACTCTTCACAACCATAATTAGAATCTGTGTTTTGGCCGTTTCCACCAGTAAAATTCATTCCACTCAAAATATAATAATTCTCTCCTCACGATTTATTAATAATTGTTAATTTAAATTCCCATTAATAATAATATAGTTTATTCAACTGCCTCTGGTCGGTTTAACAAATTCTAACATAAAATTCTGAAAATCTCATCATCTGAAGTGATTTGGCAACGTTTTGGCACACGCCCACAATTCATTCCATCTTTCAATACTGACATTGACATCCTTCGGCCTTCTGTCAAAGGGTTTCATGTCACTCATCAATTCATCATTCCATGACCACTAATTTGTGCAATCATCAGGTGGTTTCACGATGTAATGCTCTAATTTTTTAAATAATTTTTAATCTGTATTTAACTTGTTCTTGTCATGTTTTGTATAAATTTTGACTATTGTGCAATCTATTCAGCTCTCACCATGTTACTGGATGTTTCCCTCATCCTATACGTAAACAACAATTAGCAACATCCTCACATACTACTGTAAGTTGAGTCAATTTAAATTCATTTTACACCTTTGTTGCTACTGTTATCATTGTAATTGCAGCTCCTGATGATGATGGCAAAGTCCATTGAAAGCTAGAGAGAATTAAAAAAAGTATAAAGAGTCCTCTTTGCTTAAATCTTGTCGAAGTACCCAACAAAAGGCGGAAGCTTTAATTTTTCACCTAACTGGTCTAGACGACAATGACCACGTCTCATGTTACATCCACAGATTTGGGGTTTTTCAATAACATCACGGAACGTCATGGGAACCAGGCAGTAAGAATGATGAAGGACTGGATCAAGGGCAGAAAACGACTGGCACAGGAGATCAATCGACGGATTTTCTTATTAAAATGTAGAAAACATGGCATTACACCACATCACATCACCCACCGTTTAACATCAATCACACACTTACTAGAAAGCCATTCAATAGAAGATGGGATGAAAAATCGTCTGCACAGGTTAGGTGACAAAATACTCACGCTTGAGATATCTTCCTGCCACAGACAGTTGAAAAAACTTCATTCCATACTCAATTCACTCCAAAGTGACATAATTTCTTCCACTTCTCCCTTAATTTTTGATAATTTCAAATATAGACAACTCAGACATTACAATAAAATCTTTCATAACATAAAAAACTCCAACACTCGTAAGTTTGACAGATTGTTGAATGACACCAAAAAAACCTTCCTCAACACTCAACAAAATTGGATAAAAAATCTCAGTAACGTTGACATCCCTCAGGACATATTAAAATTTCTTTCCTTGGGTCCTAAGTTCAGTGTAGAGCCGATTGTTAACAATGACATTCCAATCAGATCAATCCTAGCGGATGTAGACACAATAGCATCCTCCATAAGTGATGACACTGAAAGAAACATTTTCACAACTCGTTCCACTAACCTCATCACTAACTACTATCATAATAACAATCTTAATAAAAAACATTCCTTTTATCACAACCTTTTAAACATAACTAGAACATTTCTAAAACAACATCCTGAACTTATGGTTACAAGATCTGACAAAGGCAATGTTACAGTGATAATGCTTAAACAACACTATTTAGATCTTTGCAACAATCTCATCAATGATGACCCATCATATCATGAAATTAATAAAGATCCCACACTTAAAGTGGAAAAGAAAAGTAATGACATTGTTAAGGAACTCCTCAGCACTGGACAAATAACCCAAGAACAAAAAAGAACTTTGACCACTTATAACTCTGTCCCTCCCAAATTTTATGCACTTCCGAAAATTCACAAACCTGTACTCTCAGTAAGACCCTATAGTTGCATCAATAGGTTCAGCCACCCAGGCTTTGTCTTCATTAATATCGACAACACTAAAATCAGCACATGCAGATAATGATTACTACATCAAAGACTCATTTGAAGTCTCTCGTCAGTTCAATAGATTGACAATACCAGCCGATCATATTATCGCCAGTCTTGATGTGGTGTCGCTATTCAGCAACATCTATCTGGATGCATGTACAAGAACTATTAATAAACACTGGAATGAGATAAGTCAACACTGCAACATATCTCTAGAATCTTTCACCAACATTATAACATTCCTTTTTCATAACAATTATTTCTCTTTCAACAACAAAATATATTCTCAAACACATGGTTGTCCTATGGGATCTGTTCTGTCACCAATTTTGGCGGAATATGTCATGGATGATCTGCTTGATACTGTTATTCCGACACTACCCTATAACCTCTTCTTCATAAAAAAATACGTAGATGACATTATTTTATGCCTCCCTTCCATAGGTCTGGATGGTATTGTCAGAGAATTCAACAGCTATGACCCCTACATCCAATTTACCATTGAAAAAGAAGATGAGAACCTGTCTGTCCCCTTTCTAGACACAAGACTCATTCGCACCAACAACAACAGTTTATTGGTAGACTGGTACCAGAAACCTCAGGTCGGTTTCTCAATTTTAGGTCATACCATAAGCTAGGGATTAAAATCAATGTGGTAAAACAGATGAAAACAAGGGTAATCAGCATCTCAGATAATACCTTCCACACCTCAAATTTACGTAAACTATCAAAACTGTTCATCAATAATGGTTATCCGAAGTGTCTGATTAACAAGATCATTTTTAGTTCACCTTCCAATATTTTGCCGAACTCTGGTGATGCAGGTAATAGTCGCACAACCCCTAATAACGGAACTGATGTAATTCCCAATAATAACATCAATCCTAACAGTACTAGCACCAACCCGGACTCCAGACCTGGTTTTGCTGTCCTGCCCTACATCAAGGAACTGACCCCTAAGCTGATCAGATTGTGCAGTCCTTTGAACTTTCGAATTGCTTGCAAATCCGTCCTCACTATAAACTGCATTTTTTCAAAAATGAAAGACAAAGTCCCGCTGCTTGGCTTAACCAACACAGTCTACTCCATCAATTGCAACAACTGCAACCAAATATACATAGGTCAGACCTCCAGATCTCTTAAAGGAAGGATTACATCACACAAAAGTGATGCTAGGCTTCATCCTGAAAGATGCGCTCTAGCATCTCATGTTAACACAACAGGGCATTCTATGAATTACACAAGTATCAAAGTTCTTGATAAAGAAAAACACCTTTCCAAACGTTTATTCCTGGAAATGTCCCACATTTTCATGAATAACAACTGTATCAACAAAAAGACAGATGTTAAACAACTGAGTGTCATTTACTCATATTTGCTAAACTGCGAAAAATTGGAGAACTTACATATCTCCCCAAATTTCAACTCTTCACAACCATAATTAGAATCTGTGTTTTGGCCGTTTCCACCAGTAAAATTCATTCCACTCAAAATATAATAATTCTCTCCTCACGATTTATTAATAATTGTTAATTTAAATTCCCATTAATAATAATATAGTTTATTCAACTGCCTCTGGTCGGTTTAACAAATTCTAACATAAAATTCTGAAAATCTCATCATCTGAAGTGATTTGGCAACGTTTTGGCACACGCCCACAATTCGTTCCATCTTTCAATACTGACATTGACATCCTTCGGCCTTCTGTCAAAGGGTTTCATGTCACTCATCAATTCATCATTCCATGACCACTAATTTGTGCAATCATCAGGTGGTTTCACGATGTAATGCTCTAATTTTTTAAATAATTTTTAATCTGTTTTTAACTTGTTCTTGTCATGTTTTGTATAAATTTTGACTATTGTGCAATCTATTCAGCTCTCACCATGTTACTGGACGTTTCCCTCATCCTATACGTAAACAACAATTAGCAACATCCTCACATACTACTTTAAGTTGAGTCAATTTAAATTCATTTTACACCTTTGTTGCTACTGTTATCATTGTAATTGCAGCTCCTGATGATGATGGCAAAGTCCATTGAAAGCTAGAGAGAATTAAAAAAAGTATAAAGAGTCCTCTTTGTATATATATATATATATATCCTCACATACTACTGTAAGTTGAGTCAATTTAAATTCATTTTACACCTTTGTTGCTACTGTTATCATTGTAATTGCAGCTCCTGATGATGATGGCAAAGTCCATTGAAAGCTAGAGAGAATTAAAAAAAGTATAAAGAGTCCTCTTTGCTTAAATCTTGTCGAAGTACCCAACAAAAGGCGGAAGCTTTAATTTTTCACCTATATATATATATATATATATATATATATATTTATTTATATTGGTAGGAGTGGCACCAAATGGGGTAATACCATTTGTTAGCAAAGCTTAACCAGGGTCAATATCTGACAAGAAGATTGTTGAACAGAGCAATGTTTTAAATCAAATGGTTCCTGGAGATATGATTCTAGCAGACAAAGGTTTTTTAATTAAAGCCCTTCTTCCTGCTGGGGTGCCGCTCAATATTCCACCCTTTTTAACTACACCCCAGTTCACAGAGTCGCAGGTATATGAAACAGCAAATTGCAAAAGCCAGAATTCATGTAGAACGAGCCATCAGAAGAATAAAATGTTATATTTTGCAGCAGGTTCCACCTTATTATATATATCCCAAATTTCAGTTGTTTTTCAATTGTGTGCAGCTTTAACAAACTTTCAATATCCGCTAATTAAAGAAGTTGAAGAATATTATTAAACTGTTATAGTAGAACATTTGGTTTTATTTTTAGTTTTTATAGTTTTTCTATGAACAGTTACAATTTTTGTGCGATAACATTTCAATCTGCGAAAACTGTCTCACTATTAAAGTTTATAGTTTGGATTAAAAAACAATGGTTAGTCATTAAGTGATTAGAATTTATTTATCGACTCAAATTAATACCTTTATTAGCAAAAGTTATAACAGATTCAAATGTTATCAGGTAAAAATGATCACATTGTAGTTAATTTCATTTAGAAACTTCTATTGTAAATTTTATTTAAAAGTGTAGCAGGAGCACCAAAGTCTTGACTGCTTGCTTTGAGTTTTGTGCTTCCACTGTTGATTACATATACATCAGTAAATAAAAGTCGTATTTATTCAAAACCATATTTATTTAATTTCCTAACAATTTTGGTAAATAATGTTCTATGTAGAAATTTTCTAAAAGAAAAATATTTTCCTTCCATAACTCATCATAATCTACATTTGCAACAATTGTGCCATTTAATGTCCAAATACAGAGGTAACATTTTTTCTTTTTTAAAATATGTAGAATACCTTGAATTTGATGATAATAATTGTGACTTTTATTTAGTAACAAATTTCCTTCATCATAATAAATAATGTAATTTGTTAGGTTACATAATTTGTCTGTTAAATTATCATTTCTAAAGGAATATGGACATTTCATTTCCACAATGGCATCTTCTTCATCAATTAAACCATCAGGACTAGCTCCAAGGAGTCCTGAATTTGTAAGCCATACTCCTGTTAATTGAATATTTAAATTATAATGTTGTTTCAAATAATCTAATGCAGATGCATGAGTTCTGCCCCATTGGATTGCTTTAATGCCATCCAGATTATATTCTCCTGGAAAAAAAATTGATTTGATGTGTTGTGGTGACAATATATAAAATAAAAGAAATATTACAAAATGAACAATAATTCAGTATTGGGAAAAAAATGCAAACTCTGCAGGGAAGAAATTGAGCTGGAAAGAAATTACGCAGTCGACTTCTTTCATGAAACAGTAAGAATGAATTAGCTCCCTCATTCTTATTATCTCATTACTGCTTATCTAACTTTTATTGACTGTGCATAAAAAATAACTATCAAAGCAATACATAAAAGTAAAGGATTTGTGTTGACATTACATCCATATCTGACGAAAATTTAAAACAATATAGTACTCACTCACCTAAAAGTGTTTTGAACAAACTATCTGGGAACCTCTTTTTTACACATGCAGAAATTATCAATCCAAAACTACTTGCAGTCAAACGAAATTTTCTGGCAAGATACCACTTTTCATTTGAAGCTTGGCCAGTAGTGGCAGCAGCAATGTCAAGTATTGAGATATCATCCATGGCACATTTTTCTTTGAAGATATGGACTTTATCTGTGGCTTCCAAAAACTCCTTGGAGGAAATAATTTCTTCAATCATAGGGAAATTATTCACACGATTTTCAGATTCCTTGTTCAACAACCAAGTAAATCCCACAGTATTTCCAAAGCTACCTAGCTTCTCCCTCAATCTTTCAATTGATTTTTCTGGTACTTGATGTTCAAGAGCTTTATATGGCTTTGGCGGATAAAGCTCTTCAGCAGATTGTACCGGCTCAGACTTAGGTTTAGCTGGGGCATTCCATAAACAAGCTTTATCTGTTACTGAGATATTGTAATGCCCAAAAAGTGCCAAAGCTGCAATGTGATGACATTTTATTCCTTTTGGACAATTACATCTTTCTGATTGAAGAATGTTCCAAATAGTATTTATGCACATTTAAATTTATTTTTATAGTACTGTAGCTGTCAACACTAAATGTAGTGGGAACACGTCCAGTTTTGTAGAGATTAAAGTGTACAAAGAAAACACCCTTATATATATATGTATATATATATAAATATAACTTGAGACGTGGTCATTGTCGTCTAAACCAGTTAGGTGAAAAATTAAAGCTTCCGCCTTTTGTTGGGCACTTCGACAAAAATTTTAAGCAAGGAGGACTCTTTATACTTTTTTTAATTCTCTCTAGCTTTCAATGGACTTTGCCATCATCATCAGGAGAGTAGTATGTGAGGATGTTGCTAATTGTTGTTTTCGTATAGGATGAGGGAAACGTCCAGTAGCATGGTGAGAGCTGGATACATGGTACAATGGTTAAAATTATATAATATATATTATATATATCAAATTATATAATATATATTATATAATATATATTATATAATATATATTATATAATATCATATAATTTTAACCATTGTACCATGTATCCAGCTCTCACCATGCTACTGGACGTTTCCCTCATTCTATACGAAAACAACAATTAGCAACATCCTCACATACTACTCTCCTGATGATGATGGCAAAGTCCATTGAAAGCTAGAGAGAATTAAAAAAAGTAGTAGTTAAAAACAGATTAAAAATTTTTAGAACATGAAAGCATTACAGCGGGAAGCCACTTGAAGATGCTTTCATGTTCTAAAAATTTTTAATCTGTTTTTAACTTGTTCTTGTCACACAGTTGTGTGTATTTTATATAATTTTGACCATTGTACCATTTATCCAGCTTTCACCATGTTACTGGGTGTTCCCTCATCCTGAACGTAAACAACAATTAGCAACATCCTTACATACTACTCTCCTGGTGATGATGGCAAAGTCCATTGAAAGCTAGAGTGTATAAAAAAAGTATAAAAAGTGCTCTTTGCTTAAATTTTGTCGAAGTACCCAACAAAAGGCGGAAGCTTTAATTTTTCACCTAACTGGTTTAGACGACAATGACCACGTCTCAAGTTATATTTATATATATATACGTAGTCATGCCATAAGTTCTGTCCCTCGTTTTCAAACAAGTGTAGACCTGTTAATACTTGTCCGATTGTTTACATTGTGGTGTCAGTTGATTAAGCGCTTTTCGGGTAATTACATATACCTCAGTTTGTATTGATCTCTCGAAGCATAACGATGGAGTGGGGCAAGGCAGAGAACCGTATTGCAGTGATAGCTTTACATAAGTGTAATCACAGTGCTAGTCAGATTTTTGAACTCTTACGCGGCCTTCAAATATCGCGTAAATTTGTGTCTAGGACCATTCAGCGGTACAATGAGACGTCCTCTGTTGATGACAGGCCACGAAGCGGAAGACCTCGTCAAGTAAGGACTCCAGCAGCCATCAAAGCCGTAAAAGCCAGGATTCAAAGGAATCCACTCCGGAAGCAGAAGATCCTATCCAGGGAAATGAAGATTCCTGTCCGGACGATGTCGCGCATCATTAAACAAGACCTAGGGCTAGGGGCTTACCGGAGACGTACGAGCCAGCGACTTACGGCCACCTTGCGACACATCAGGGCGACAAGATCCAAGAAGCTCTTGGAGAGGTACGCAGCTGGGGGATTCCGAAAGATGTTGTTCACGGATGAGAAAATCTTCACCATAGAAGAAAAATTCAACCGACAAAATGACAAGGTGTATGCAAGGAGTTCACAGGAAGCTTCGGAGATCATTCCGAGAGTTGAGAGAGGCCACCACCCTGCGTCAGTCATGGTTTGGTGGGGGGTGTCCTACGAAGGGGTCACTCAGCTCCATTTCTGTAAACAGGGCGTGAAAACAAAAGCGGCAAACTATCAGAGCGACATACTGGATCCTATCGTCAAGCCTTTAAGTGGTACATTGTTTGCCAACCAACACTGGGTCTACCAGCAGGATTCCGCCCCCGCTCACAAGGCTAAGAGTACGCAGCGCTGGCTGGAAAGCAATGTGCCAGAGTTCATTACTGCGGAAGATTGGCCCTCAGGGAGTCCGGACCTCAATCCTTTAGACTACAAGTTGTGGGACCTGCTAGAGCAGTTGGCCTGCTCCAAAGCCCACCGTAATATCGAGTCCCTGAAAGCGGATTTGATCCGATCAGCGGCAGCTATTCCTTTGGAAGCTGTGCGTGCAGTGATAGATGAGTGGCCCGCGAGATTGAAGCAGTGTGTGAAGGCCAAGGGGGGACATTTTGAATAAAACTGTTTGATTATGAATTCTAAAAATGTTGTCGAATAAATAATATCTTTCATATAAATATATCTTATCTTGTTTCATTTTTATCATGAGATTATCATGGGACAGAACTTATGGCACGACTACGTATACATATATATAAGGGTTTTTTCTTTGTACACTTTAATCTCTACAAAACTGGACGTGTTCCCACTACATTTAGTGTTGACAGCTACAGTACTATAAAAATAAATTTAAATGTGCATAAATACTATTTGGAACATTCTTCAATCAGAAAGATGTAATTGTCCAAAAGGAATAAAATGTCATCACATTGCAGCTTTGGCACTTTTTGGGCATTGCAATATCTCAGTAACAGATAAAGCTTGTTTATGGAATGCCCCAGCTAAACCTAAGTCTGAGCCGGTACAATCTGCTGAAGAGCTTTATCCGCCAAAGCCATATAAAGCTCTTGAACATCAAGTACCAGAAAAATCAATTGAAAGATTGAGGGAGAAGCTAGGTAGCTTTGGAAATACTGTGGGATTTACTTGGTTGTTGAACAAGGAATCTGAAAATCGTGTGAATAATTTCCCTATGATTGAAGAAATTATTTCCTCCAAGGAGTTTTTGGAAGCCACAGATAAAGTCCATATCTTCAAAGAAAAATGTGCCATGGATGATATCTCAATACTTGACATTGCTGCTGCCACTACTGGTCAAGCTTCAAATGAAAAGTGGTATCTTGCCAGAAAATTTCGTTTGACTGCAAGTAGTTTTGGATTGATAATTTCTGCATGTGTAAAAAAGAGGTTCCCAGATAGTTTGTTCAAAACACTTTTAGGTGAGTGAGTACTATATTGTTTTAAATTTTCGTCAGATATGGATGTAATGTCAACACAAATCCTTTACTTTTATGTATTGCTTTGATAGTTATTTTTTATGCACAGTCAATAAAAGTTAGATAAGCAGTAATGAGATAATAAGAATGAGGGAGCTAATTCATTCTTACTGTTTCATGAAAGAAGTCGACTGCGTAATTTCTTTCCAGCTCAATTTCTTCCCTGCAGAGTTTGCATTTTTTTCCCAATACTGAATTATTGTTCATTTTGTAATATTTCTTTTATTTTATATATTGTCACCACAACACATCAAAACAATTTTTTTTCCAGGAGAATATAATCAGGATGGCATTAAAGCAATCCAATGGGCAGAACTCATGCATCTGCATTAGATTATTTGAAACATTATAATTTAAATATTCAATCAACAGGAGTATGGCTTACAAATTCAGGACTCCTTGGAGCTAGTCCTGATGGTTTAATTGATGAAGAAGATGCCATTGTGGAAATGAAATGTCCATATTCCTTTAGAAATGATAATTTAACAGACAAATTATGTAACCTAACAAATTACATTATTTATTATGATGAAGGAAATTTGTTACTAAATAAAAGTCACAATTATTATCATCAAATTCAAGGTATTCTACATATTTTAAAAAAGAAAAAATGTTACCTCTGTATTTGGACATTAAATGGCACAATTGTTGCAAATGTAGATTATGATGAGTTATGGAAGGAAAATATTTTTCTTTTAGAAAATTTCTACATAGAACATTATTTACCAAAATTGTTAGGAAATTAAATAAATATGTTTTGAATAAATACGACTTTTATTTACTGATGTATATGTAATCAACAGTGGAAGCACAAAACTCAAAGCAAGCAGTCAAGACTTTGGTGCTCCTGCTACACTTTTAAATAAAATATACAATAGAAGTTTCTAAATGAAATTAACTACAATGTGATCATTTTTACCTGATAACATTTGAATCTGTTATAACTTTTGCTAATAAATGTATTAATTTGAGTCGATAAATAAATTCTAATCACTTAATGACTAACCATTGATTTTTAATCCAAACTATAAACTTTAATAGTGAGACATTTTTCGCAGATTGAAATGTTATCGCACAAAAATTGTAACTGTTCATAGAAAAACTATAAAAACTAAAAATAAAACCAAATGTTCTACTATAACAGTTTAATAATATTCTTCAACTTCTTTAATTAGCGGATATTGAAAGTTTGTTAAAGCTGCACACAATTGAAAAACAACTGAAATTTGGGATATATATAATAAGGTGGAACCTGCTGCAAAATATAACATTTTATTCTTCTGATGGCTCGTTCTACATGAATTCTGGCTTTTGCAATTTGCTGTTTCATATACCTGCGACTCTGTGAACTGGGGTGTAGTTAAAAAGGGTGGAATATTGAGCGACACCCCAGCAGGAAGAAGGGCTTTAATTAAAAAACCTTTGTCTGCTAGAATCATATCTCCAGGAACCATTTGATTTAAAACATTGCTCTGTTCAACAATCTTCTTGTCAGATATTGACCCTAGTTAAGCTTTGCTAACAAATGTTATTACCCCATTTGGTGCCACTCCTACCAAAACTTTCCATGTATTTTTGTGTTTATAAGAACTGTATGTCAACCTCTGATTTTCCATGCTTGCTGGAACTGTGGAGTAAATTTCTGTAGAGTCTAATATAATTCTACAATTTTTAAAATTAGTAAATGCAGCAGAAAGGCAGATTTGGTTTCTTTGTCTGGATGGTATTGTCTTCACCAAATGTTCAAATAGCACTTCATGCAAAGCGTAAATCCAAGTCATAATAATAGTGGTAACAGTAGCTGTGCTGCAATTTAATCTAATACTCAGATCTTCATGGGGCAAATTCAGTCGTAATTTCATCAGTGTCATCAGAAGCTGATCAACTTTGGGGATATGTTGCAACATTCCAGCCAGCATAATATTTTATTTGTATGTCATTCATTAGCTCAAAAAGCACAATAAATAATTCATTTGTTGGTGTACCAGTGTACATTAATATATGAGCATCATTTTTTTTTATTGCTTCATAACTAAACCTTGTTGTTAACTTCTCTAATTTTTCAGTTAATTCATTAACTTGTTTCAAAAATAAATCTCAGCATCTTGAGAAGCAGATGATGGGCTGAGAAGTAAACTATCAAGTTTTAATAGAGTCACTGTTTGTTCTGGATTGTTAAAGGGTTTTGATGGTTCACTTGGCAGCTTGCCTTGAGTGGAGTAAGGCTGTGTAGAAAGGTCTGGTAGTGAGTCAGCAAATGATTGATTCTCCTGTTGCTTTATGACCGCTTTCTAAAAAAAAGCATATTGTGATCATGCTTTCTAAAAAAAAGCATATTATGATCATGCTTTTTATGCAGTATGCATACCTGTTTTCTGGGGTTGTTATGTTGAATCTCTTTTTAATATTAAAATCAAATAATGTTGGTCCATTTTTCTTATCCTGATCTATAAAAGGGCAATCACAAACTTTGGAGAATTGACTAGGACCTCTATCTTTTCTCCTGTAAATAAAAACGATTAAAAATGTATCTATAAAAACTAATGTATTTAAGAGAAATCCATCTATTCCTTTCTGTCTTGTTTAAATAAAGGAAACCGAAAAAACCTGAACGGTTTTCACTGTAGTGCTTGTGCTTGCAGTCAGGCACAAAGCACATTCCCATTATAATGAATCCGAAATACATATAATTAAAAACAGGAACTCAGTTATTACGTAAAGTTTAAATAACATATAAACAACGACAAAGTTTTAAAACATTATTACTGTCCTAATATTACTTACTTGAAAAATAAATGAATACAAATCTATAGTCGAAATCACGAAAGAAGACGATTACGTCATACCATAAATTGTAACGAAATAATTACCGGACGTACGTCGATGATAAGGTTACGATGTCAGGAACATGTGATCAAAGTTAGCTGATTTCAGTGATTATTTTTATTTATTCTATTTCATGATTTTAAATTTTCATTATACGTGCACAAATTTACATTTTAAGACTTCTATTTGCAATAAAATTACATATTTATTTAAAAAAAAAACAGCATTTCCTCTGTTCACAATAATAGTATGTATTTTGAACCTATTTTTCATCTAATATTGTTGAGTCCCTAGAGTTCTTACCAAAATCATAATAATACATTGGTATCAGCTCCATTAAAACGACCAATTGATTCTGAGAACATGGTTTTATTTTATAAAAAAAAATACAAACACAAATAAGCATACCAAAGTGAAAATATTTTTGTACTATTTCATGTCATGCCATCCACTATTCATTTTAGCATAAGCTACAAAATTATATAAAACATATATCAAATAAAATAAACTGTACATTTCAATATGTTATTCCATTACTTATGGTCAAATTCAGTTTATTTATTTATTTATTTATTTATTTATTTACAAATTTACGGGATAAACCCATTCGGTTACAGGTTGTAAAAGTACAATCTTAACCTAATAAAATTCACACACATCATAAATAAAGAATCTAACATATGAACATAAAGTTTGACTATTTACTAAATTAAAATATTAAAACGTGCATAAAAATAGTTACAAATACTAAAAAAAAAAAAAAAAAAACTAAAAAAAACTGAACAACTAAACAACACAGCAAACATCACCAGCAATTGAGACATTTTAAAACTTTAGCTAAGATTTCTATCTTTAAGGAACTTTTTGAGAGAGCATAGTGAAGTATTAAAAAGGTCTATATCACAGTCATTACAATTTCTCATTATCCTATCCATGCTACTATTCGAGCCATACAAAGTTCTATGCCGACAAGGTTCAAAGGATCTGCGTTCTCTTAAATGCCTAGGAGAAACATAAAAATTTAGCTTTAGAAGCAGGTCTGGGCAGTGGTAAACACCATGAATTAATTTATAAGCAAAAACAATATCTGCTGAATCTCTCCTGGCTCTTAGGGATCCAATCCTTAACTCCTTTTCAAGAGCATTATAGTCTAAATTCTCAATAGAAATGTGTTTTTTGTAAGCTATATATCGTAGAAATTTTCTCTGAACCCCGTCAAGCATGTCCTGATAAGTTACATAATATGGAGACCACACGCTGCTGCAATTTTCTAGATGAGATCGCACCAGTGAAGTATAGAGAGTTACTATAGCTCCAATGTTAGTAAATTCAGATGTATTTCTTTTTATGAAGCCCAACATTTTTAAAGCTTTATTTCTTATAACCTCTATGTTCTGATAAAATGTTACTTTGCTATCAAATATAACACCCAGGTCTTTAACAACATTAACATTTTGAAGTTGGGTATTATTTATGTGATAACTGCTGACTATATTATTGTTAGACTTTGAAAATTGAATGTATTTACATTTGTCTGTGTTAAGGATCATTCTATTTTCTTCACTCCATTTAACAAATTGATCAAGGTCACTCTGAATCTTTAATGTTGAGTTATTATCAGAAAGAGGTAAATAGATCTTGACATCGTCAGCATAGATAAGAAAAGAACAGAATTTAAAACATTGGGCTATGTCATTGACAGAAATTATAAATAAAATGGGTGCCAAGTGCGCACCTTGTGGTACACCAGACAAGACAGCAATTGGATTTGAGAGACAGTTTTTAATTTTTACAAATTGCTCTCTTTCAAAAAGATAAGAACTTAACCAGTTCAATAAACTTCCATGCAATCCGTAACAAGAGAGCTTTTCAATGAGAATATCTATATTCAACTTGTCGAATGCTTTCCCAAAATCTGTATAAATTGAGTCAACAGATTGCCCATTTTCCAATGCCTCAACTATATGTGAATGATAAACTAAAAGGTTAGAAGTTATAGATTTTCCTTCACAGAAACCATGCTGCTGTGCAATTATAACATTTTTAAATTTTTCCTTCAAAAAATCTGCTACAAATGATTCAAAAACCTTTGGAATTAACGATATCAATGTAATGGGCCTGTAATTTTCAACATTCTCTCGATTTCCACAATTTTTAAAAATTGGAATAATGTAGGAGGTTTTCCATTTCTTTGGAAAAACTCCCAGGGCTAAAGATTTATTAAATAAAATCCATAAAGGCCTAGACAGTGAGAAAGCACAGTTCTTAAGAAACAATGCACTCACACTATCAGGACCCGGTCCCTTTGACAAGTCCAGGCTAGCCAGCTTTTCACAAATATCAGAAATTTTTATAAATACACTGCTCAAATTTAAGTTTGGCGAGCTGAAACTTTTTGCAACAGTGCTAAGGCTCTGTGAAGGACTTGGTGTTTCATATACACTAGAAAAATGTTTAGCAAAAGCATTTGCAATTTCTTTGCCGCTATCAAAAGTTTCCTCATTATACTTAACAATTGATGGAATACTATTTTGATTATTTTTAGACTTAATGAACTTCCAGAAAACATTAATATTACCTTTTAGATTATTCTCAATATTTTTTATATAAAGACTATAATCTTGGTGAACCTTTTCTTTGCACAATCTGCGTAAATGACAGAATAAACCATAATCAATATTAGAATTAGTTCTCTTATATTTTGCATGCAGCTCTTTTTTTTCATAAATCATACTTTTGAGTTCAGGACTAAACCATGCAGGAAATTTAAAATTACTTTTTATTAGCAATCTTGGCACATAAGTATCAATACAATCATAGAGAACAGCATAAAAACATTCAACATCATTATCCAATTGATCAACCAATAAGGCATCCCAGTTAAAATTAATTAATAAATTGTTGATTACATTAAAATCTGCATTTTTAAAATCATAGATTTGTTCTTCAAATTGCAAAGGTTTATAAGAGCTAATATTTTGTATACTTACAACAAATGCTGGGTGATGTTTGTCACATGGCAGAAGTATATCATTAGCACAATTTACTTTAGTAAAATTAGAATTATTGGTAAATACAAGATCTAGTAAAACATTGTTACAATTTTTTATCGAGTTTATTTGAGTGCAGTTAGAAAACAGCATGGAGCTAACAAGAAGATCACCGGAGGCATTCCGTCTACCAATACCATTATCATGGAGGCTGGTTTCATCCAACATCTGAAGATGGGGCAGGTTGTAATCTCCCATGATGTACATGACATCAGAGCTATCACTGAAGTTTTCAATATTGTTGCAGTGATTTTCATATTCCACCAAATTGCTAAGGGGAGGAAAATATACTGCACAGAAGTAGGTGGACTTAATTTTACCAATAGATACAGAGACCCACACCTCTTCATGCCCAGATGTCAAATTCCTCAATTCGACTTGGTGCGATTTTAAACTTTTTGTGATCGCAATTAAAACACCTCCTCCTCTGGATTTGCCTGTTGCTATGTTGTCTCTGTCACATCTATAAATTGAGTAGTTCTGTAGCCCTAGTTCCGAGTCATTAAACTCTGGTGTTAACCAGGTTTCACTAAGTATAATTATATCATATGATGCCATGGACACATTGTTTGAAAATTCATTCAATTTAGTTCTGATGCCTCTAATGTTCTGGTAATAAATCCTAATATCATTGATAGGGTTAATTCCTGCGCCGTGGCTGGGCCTGCCTTTTAAAAAAGCGTCTACCTTGTGCTGATGGTAATGGTTGATTTCTTCTAGGGAAATTGAATGGCTTGACAATCACATTTTCAGGCCATATGTCGCTATTAAATAATGTATTCTTGACACCAGGTTTCACGGAGAGCTTAAAAGATGCCACATGTTGGTTCTGAGACGACAGTTTCTCACAGGTTAAGGCTTCAATGTTGTTGGACTTAAGATAATTTATTAATTGATTAGTTGTGGTTCCTGCTTCCAGGTTGCCTATATAACACCAGAACTGTTCCTCCGCTGCTACAATTCCAGTTGAAGTTTTGTTTGTACCCCTGACAAGAGTGTTAGAGTTACCAAGTTGTTTAGGACCTGTTGAATGTTCAGATTGCTTGATCGGACCAGCTTTAATGGAGACTGCAGTTGAGCTTGGAGGGCCATTGATAGAAACCAATGCATCATTGATAGCTTTACTCGTTTGCTCTTGTGTGATTTCATGGACTATTGGGGGCTTGGACAACTTACTTGCATATGTCTTCATCTCAATCTTCATGCAATTGAGAAGTTCCTTATTAGTTTCCTGGATCAAGTTAAGGTGTGAGCTCAAGGATTTGGTTAGCTCATTGTTGATCTTTTCAGTGAAGAACAACAATTTATCGTCAAGTTTATCGTGCAATAAAGAAGTGATGGATAGTGCATTCTTGTCTGAAAAGTTGTCATCCTTGTTTTTTAGGGATAAGTCTTCCAGAGATTTTTGTAATCCATCATGAACTAATTTCACTGCAGCCCTGTCTTTGTCCATATCAGCCTTATTTGCCTTCAGTTGCAGTTCATTTTCAGTATTCTTTACTCTCGCCTTGAGATTTGAAATCTCCTTCTTATGCAATGAGATTTCCTGCTGTAGGGATTGAATTTGCTTAAATGCTTGTAGTGATTCCTTGAAGAGCGGTTTACATTCAGGACAGGTGTAGACTAAAGTCCTATTAGAACTGGGGATTACTCTAATTTCTTGCGCTTGTAGAGAGTTGCATTTTTCACATATGACTCGGTTACATAAGTCACAGGGATAGCCAAAAGTTCTGATCTTCTCTCTATCCTCCTTAAATATACATTCAATATTGCACTTAAAGCAATTAGCCATTGAAAATTATTAAAACAAAAACAATAATAAAATTGTTTTGTTTGTTTATAAATATCTTCTTCTTCTTTTGGAGATGTCTTCCCTTAGGGCAGATGGGAGAACTGGTTCAGACCAGGGAAAAACTAAAGGTGGCAACACTGCGAAACTGCTGATCGGATTTGCTGAGAGGTTAGGTCCAGGTATACAAAAACAAAGATGTTACAAACGGCGTTTTTGGAGCAAATACGGAGAACTCAGGATATCAAACACTTCCACAGGTTTTTGATACTAGGATCTATCAGGAACTACACTATTTTACTTTAAAAAAACTCACAAAACATTACAAATTGACAAACAAAAATTTCTATTTACACACGTTTCGCTCATTCCAGTGGCGGGGAAAAAATTAAATATTAATCGCTACTGTCAGATTCAGTATCACTATCTGAATCAAATGAGATTATCAGTGGTTCTATTTCACGAGTAATAGTTTTGTTGTACCATCATGGGTATGCTTCACACATTTTTTCCAAACCTCTGGTGTAATTTGTGACAGAGCTTCATTCCACAATCCACATAGCTAAAACATTTTCATCACTATGACCACATCTTCCAATATGTCTATCATAATACTGCTTAGCATTGGCCCATATTAACTCGATGGCATTAAATTCACACTGGTATGGGGGGGTACAAAGAACTTCATGTCCATAACTTCTTATGATTTCATCTATTAAATACTTCTTTTCCTTACGATTTCTTTTCACTATATTCAATAACTCCACTTTAGTTAATGTTGGTTGGAACACAATTTCATTTTTAACCAGCCAGTCAATAATCTCTTTTTTTGGAAAACTTGTGTTTGGAGTCTTTTCCAATAAAATGCTATGATAGGATGCATTATCCATAATTATCACTGATGGCTCTTCCAAGTTGCAGAGGAGTTTTTCTTTTAACCACTTAATGAATGTCTCGCCGTTCATATCACCATGGTAACCTGCAGATTTAGACTGTGAGGAAAATAACAGACCATCCATCAACAAATCCTTTTTCGCTCCCCGCATGGACAACAATAAATCACTTTCCTTGAAAGTCCAATGGTCTCCTTACACTTTTTATTGACTCATCTTGCCAAGACTTTTTTGGACTGCCTTTTGAAAATATCCATGTTTCATCCATGAAAACAATTTGACGCGAGGAAGTGTTCACATAATCATTATAACTTCTCAAAAATTTGGTGCGAAGTAAAGCAATACTGGATTGCTCAACTAGAAATCTTCTATTACCATCTTTTTTATATTTAAAGCCTATGGTGGGCAGCACTCTTTGTAAAGAGCTATTGCTGATAGAAGCAAGCTCTTTCTCTTTAAGCGTTTTATTCAAATTTGCTATTGTGACATGTTTCTCTGAAACAAAACAAAAAATCAATAATTTGGAATGTACCATCTCACGCTCACTATCATTACTTTCACTATACATTTGATACACTGTATCTCGTATATTATGCCTGACTGCATCAGATAAAATCTGTTGTCTTAGACTTTTTTCTGGGTCTCTTCTTTCCAGGTGATCTTAGGACATTATCATTAGATGATAAACGGCGCTGTATTCTGGTAATAGTGGACAAACTGATACTTAGTGCCTGAGCCACCCTCTGAAAAATAATATAGAATAAATTGTCAATCATATGACCATATTTCTAACTATCACAAACCTCTTGGATAGCTAACAATGGTAATAGAGGCCCTCCATTATCCTTTTCTTGTTGAAAATAATTCAGCAAGGATAGTCCAAGCCCTGTGATTGAGAGCTAAGAGTTTTGCCTTTCATAGCGAAAACTAGAATTAAAGTCTTAAATGATGCTCTTATGTTGGAAATTATTTAGTTTCTACCTTAATAATAATTTTTATGAGTTTTTGTTTTGAAAAAAACAGTTATACACACAACAGAATACACCTCAAGACAGGAACACCAACGACCAAAGTATTGTTCGAAAACAACCTAACCTGCAACGAACTGTCAACACGCTGACATGACATAACCTCACTTGTCATCTTTCAAATGTGATCGATCATGAAACATGCAAAAATCGTCTGTTTTTATCGGATACATGCAATTCAGCAGTACTACTTGTTTAGACAATAAAATTTTGTTTGTCTCTGTCTAACACATCTGAACCTTCATTTAAAAATATTCACAAATGGCTGTCGTTTGTCTTTACTACAGAATAACGTAGTTGTCATCTTTCGTGATTTCGACTATAGTCAAAGGCACGTTTGTAAAGTCAAATATTGTATTTAAAGCTCTTATTTTCTCCTGGAAAATGACAAAAAACACTAAAAGAAAAATCCTTATGGGAATTCACCGTTATAACCGAATTTGTTTGGAGTCAATCTAAGCTCCGCCCATCGCTCTGACGTCAGACTTAGGCTGTCTATTGTCTAATGTCTAATTTGTTTTTTGTTTTTGACACTCTCTAAAAAGTTGATACAAACGTTTTTGTTGACGATTTACCGTTTTTACATTATTAATACGCTTAAATAAACTCAATCATAAATCGTAAAATGGTTATATTGCAATTAGAGGAGCAGGTGAGGTCCATAGAACATTTAAAAATACCTTACAAGAATTATTACATTTTTCCTACAGCCTCCTATTGTACAAGCAATTTTCGCTGGAGCAGTAGGCGAAGTAATGGAACTGATAGATTACAAACAAGACATCAATTGCACAGGTAATTATACAAATGATGCAGGTTGCAGTTATATTATTTGGAGCATGTACTGATCTCTACAAAATCCTTCGCATATATTACCAAGTATCCGCATTTATTTAAAATTAAAATACATCATTCTAATGTTTAACAAGTTGTGGAAGCAAATTTTGAAAATTTCAGTTTGAAACAACTTATTGAGATTATAGTATGTATTTGGAAGATATTATTTTGATCACATAGAAACGCACTGATGCGAGCTTATTTGCCGCTAAGCTACACACAGTGACGTATTTTGCTACAATTGTATTATAAAGTAAAATGTTTTGAACAGGTGCACCTCTCATTTTTCGATTCTCGCATCAAATGTGTAAATCCAAGTCGGAAAGACATGAGTAGGTTTGGCAAAAAATAGCAATTTGAATATAAATGTATACTCTTTCTAGATGTCGGTAAACAAAGTCATTCTGTATATCTAATGTAAACATATTGGCACTTTAGCAGGAAATCTTGGTCATAGACTTTAATTTTTCTATTGTCTATTAGATTAATTTCACATAACATCTCTTCCTTTACAGTAAAATGCCTATATGATCATTATAATGATTAATGGAAAAAACAGTTCAGAATGTTTGACAAGTTGTAGAAGGAAACTGAAAATCTTTGTTTAAAAAAACTTAATGACATGATAGTATTTGGCACATATTCTTTTGGTCACAGAACTTGAGTGAGGTTATTTGCTGCTATATAAAATGATAGATTTTGTTACTCTCCTTTGTATTTTGAAATAAAATCTTGTACTCACCATGACATCTATCCCTTTTCCATACAATTTCCCAAATTATGCTGGCAATTGGGCTTACTGCAATGTAAGTGTCAATTTTTTTATTTATCACATATTTTAACACCTTAAACTCCATGGCGGTCCCATGGGACTGCTTGACAATGGGCCTATCATGCCATGGAGGTCCGTATGGACACCTTGTATTTCATTTATTACCACAGTAACTCCTACTAATCAATACCACTGCTAAACTCAACATAAACAGTTTGATTATAAAATCATTACTTCATTTTCCAGACAACCAAAAACGGACACCACTACATGCAGCTGCCTTCAGTGGAAACTCCAGCATTGTATCCTTGCTACTGGAAAATGGGGCAAGAGTGAATGCTAAGGATAGTAAATGGATTACCCCATTGCATAGAGCTTGCTCTGTGGGAGCAGAAGAAGTTGTGTCTGTTTTATTGAAGGTGTGTACTTTTCAGGATAATGTAATTGGGAAAATAGAAAATTGTAAAAGGTTTATCAGTAAGGCAATACTCCAAGATATATTAAAAGACTGGTGAAATATTTTTAAATACTTGATGAACAATATTAGAACATTCTATTTATTGAGCTCATTATATACAACAATGTACATGAGGTCCTACAAGCTAAACTATAAACTACTAAATACAAAACATAAAAAAATAAACTCTATTTTCTCGTATACATATAGTGAAAAAATGAAACCAATATACTGTGTAGATTGCTTATATGGTGCTTCTTTAAGCTCCTTTCCCATGTACTATGGCTGGCTGGCATGGTCCTTTATCACCTTTTTTATTTAGTTCATTTTTTAAAGAGTTTTTGAAAGCACCTTTACTTACAGGACATAGATAGATCAATTTTTGTTAATTGAGTTGAATTACTTAATGTTCAGAACCACCTAATTGGCAAATTTTTTTGCACAACACTATATTGCACCAGTCACAAATGCAGTGATATTCTGCTTTATTCATTGATCGCCAGCATTCCTGGCAAGAAGTAGGCATTTTTTCTCCATCTACAGAATTCCTATGGTAGTAACAGGTTGGAAAAACCACTCAGCTGGATAATGTTTTTTTCTGCTATAGCAACACAAACAACAATATACATGCTAACCGATTTACATCATTCCTGATACATTCCATCTTGTACTTTACATCCAAACTAATCATACAGATTGAAAATTTTGTTTTAGGTATGGTTGATATGATTTGATCTTTAGAAGTATTGATACTTTTGCTTCCGATACCCAATATTTTGGATATATATTTTTATATATGATTGTTATCTTTCGATCCAGACTGTCAGAAAGAGGTACTAAGTTCAGATTACTTTTCTTCTTTGTTTCCTTCCGCTGGTGCTACTCACTTCATGACCTCACATAATTTATTTTGGATACCAGGGTTGCTACATTAGGAGGTTTTCGTCAAAAATCAGGGAATTTTCATTTCAACAGGAAAGATTTTGGGGATATTTTTTTTTGATGATTTCTTTTGGGGAAACATATCTTACTGGGGAGGTATCATTTTATTGTAGTAATGGCATTACATAATGTACTCATGTATTTATTTGTCTTTTGATTCAAAAGAAATACTTTTACCTATTGGGGTATTTACATATGTATATACAAACAGTATATCCCTAAAAGAATATTTTAGGATCCAAGAATACCTAACAAATCGTAAACCTGTGGTAGCCAAAAATAAATGGTATTTCTTGGGGATTTTTTAAAGTCCTAAATTTAGGGGATTTTTACGTTTCTTTGGGGGAAACGGAACTCAATGACCTAGTAACACTGTTGGATTTGGTATCGGAGAATTGCGCACACATGACTCTGTGTTTTTAGTATTTATTGGTTAAAGATTATAGTTTAAAACAAAACATTGTTGTGATAGTGATTGCCTCCTGCAAGAACTGATTTGTTGAGCTGTTTTGTAAAATCGAGTTTAGGTGGGAGATGTAAGTTATGCAATTGTGAAGTTTTTTACCTATGTTTATTAGTAAACGTATTTGATAATCTAGTCATACAGTTGAAAATAGTAGACATTATTTTGAGGGTTGTAGAAAAAACAACTATGATTTTCGGCAGCGTATGTTTGGCATCGAAAGGTTTCGATACTTTTGGTATCGATATTTTTATTCCGATATTTTATACTATCGATAGTTCCTAAAACCATACGAATCGATACATGGTATCGATACTTTTCGTGGATCGGAACATCCCTAATTTGTTTCGATTTTTTAGACTGTTTTAACCAGTTTTTATCACAGTCATTTAGAGGTGTCAACATGACAAGGCGACGTTTCCAGATCTAGTTTTATGTAATAATAAACATCATTTATGTCTGAGATATAAACAAAAAAGCGGTATATTAAAGATATATATTTTTTGTTGAAAATATAACGTCTTATGGAAAAAACCGCAGCTCAATAATTTATTTGTTTTTTGAGGTATAGGATAGAAATAGAAGCATGATGGAGAAGGATTGTTTTTTGAGTAAAAAATGAGTAACATATTGTATGGAAAACTACTAGTAGTTTTGGAGAGACGAAGCCTGCTAACTAGGCCACTTTAGACCCTTTAACAGCTCGATACGGTAACCACCCTGGGTTAGCTGGGTAGCATACCCAGCCCCTTTTTGTAAATTAAATAATTATGGTCCGAAGCACTAACCTCCTTTTCATCATACTTCCAAATTTCTTGTTTATATGTCAATAACCGAATAATTTATCTTTGTGAAAAAATAAACCATTTGTCTCTATTAAGCCCTTATCTTCCATATGACCAAACTTCGTTATGTCTCACAAATGAGGTAATGCACATGATTGCCTGCAGAGATCTTATTCAATAGGGCTGATCATTGGCATGAGACATTCTGTAAAAGTGTTCCTGCCCCAAAAACTGTTTGAATAGCAACTCTCCTGGCACACCCATGCAACGCCTATGGTAATGCGTGTTTACATAGGAATACATATATGGAGATGCTAGTGCGAACTCCAACCGTAAAACATGGGGCGCTTCCGTAATGGTCTTGAAAACATTCTTATTTATTAATGTTTCTCTGTTGCATGTGATTGGTAGTCTTCTTAATGAAAAATGATTTCAACACTAAGCATCATACATGGGAAGAAGAAGTATCGTTATAAATCCAAACACTTATTCAGAATATGGAATCTATTTGGCAAAAAAATCACAGGAAGCTACATTCCAAATCATATCCACCTTCCGATCTCAATCAGAACGATTCCATTTGGGATAAACTTGTTCAGTGGAGTAAATTGGAACATTTACTTTTTCTTCATAACAAATTAGTAACTTGTTAATTATTCTAAATAAACATGTTTTTACCTAAATCTAGTACCAAGCGGACGTGAATGCCCGAGATCGGTTATGGCAAACCCCTTTGCACGTAGCTGCAGCAAACGATGCCTACGGTTGCGTGGAGCAACTGTTGAACCTCGTGCCAAACCCGAACGTAACTGATAGGTCAGGTCGAACTGCCTTGCATCACGCCAGCTACAATGGACATGCGGACACTGCTTCGTTACTTATCTCTAGGGGGTGTTTGGTGAATGCCTGTGACAAGAAGGACTGCCGGTAAGTCATACCCTCGCAATAAAATGTAACATATAAGTTAAACATTTTCAACAAATTCCACAAAAAGACATTAAGACATAAATAAAAATATCAGAAATTTCAATATAAAAATTGGCGCTACGGGGCCACGACGAAACCGAGAGCTCGCAAAACCCGGAAATATTTCGTGGACTGATTAATTTTTCTGCTGAGGTTGTTACAACCTCAAACATAAAAAATGCTTCAAGATTTAAAGGAACTTCGAAAGAAATACAAAACGATCTACTGGATTGTATTCTTGAAGTTTGTCATGAAGAAATAATAAAGCCTCGTATTTGGCGATAATAGCAGATGAAACAACGGACATTTCGGGGAAAACCCAACTGGTAACAATTTTCATATACGTATTTAACGGCGAACCAGTAGAACGTTTTCGGAATTATATGAATCCCGAAAAATGTGACTGTGATACTCTCACAAGACATATTTTGAGCGTCGTAGATCCATTAATAGGAAATTTCCCTAAAAAACTGATTTCACAAAGCTATGATGGAGCCGCGGTAATGAGCGGACATAATTCTGGAGTACAGGCAAAAATTAAACAAAGATATCCATTTACTCGCTATGTGCATTGCTATGCGCATCAGTTAAACCTGATTATGTCCCAAGCTGCTTCCGCAAATGCTCAAGTTCGGGTGTTCTTTAGGGATTTGAAAGTTATTCCGGGATTTTTTTAATAATTCTCCTCAACAGAATTGTGGGGAAAAATTCATTAAGGAGCAACAACTCGATGGAATTTTGATATTTGAACAATAAATGTAGTGTTTGAGAACAGAGAATCACTCATTGAATGCATGGAAGAAATAGAAGAAAATTTATTTGACTAATGAAACCGTTTCCAAGGCAGCTTGCGATGTTCGCCGTATGTTAAACGATTCTGTTTTCGTGTTTTGGTTGACATTTTTTCATCATGTCTTGCCTCACGTCGACATGTTGTTCAACCAGTTGCAGAAGAAAAAAACCGAGCCAGCGCAAGTTAAAACGGCTATCGATAATTTTGAAAAATGTATTGTCGATGTGAGAACTAAAATTGATGACGTAATAAATGGAGCCAAAAGTATTTGCACTGAACCCCAAACCAACAAAAGGAGACGACATAATAATAGCAGTCACGATCACCGAGTTGCCGCATTAGAAGTATGCGACAATATAGTGCTAATGACAGATTTCAATTCAAAGATCATTTGATAGCCGCATCCCTTTTTTCCCCGAACACTTAGGAGAATACTGTGGTATGTTTCCTGATGACAAGTTGGAAACTACCTGCTTGGCTTATCCCGAATTATAAAAAAGTCGTTTAAAGACAGAGTTGTCTGTTATTTATGCACGGAATGATTGCCGAGATTTACATGGAACTCTGTCTCTTTTGAAATTTTTGATACAAAATAGTTTGGAGGAAACACTAAAAGAAACAAAAAAGCTATTAGAAATTATTGTTACAACTCCTATGTCAACATCAGAGGCTGAGCGAAATTTCTCAACATTGAAAAGAATCAAGACTTTTCTTCATAATACTATGACCCAGGATCGCCTTACAGCGTTGTCGATGCTGTCCACTGAAAAGGAATTTATTTCGACCATGGAAAATTTCAACGGGAAGGTGATCGACAAATTTGCTGCCAAGAAGGAGCGCAGGATCGAACTGACGTATAAAAAATAGGTAAGTTCGGATTTGCAGAACACCTGTTTTATTTTGCCACGAGCCGCCACTGGTATTGCAATTTCTATGAGAGATACAAATGGACCCGAATTCAGTGATATAGACGTCTATAGACGTCAAAGGTTTAAAATAACCTATGAAGGAAGTTGTTCACATTAAGTATTCAGGTATAATCATTGACCAAAATCTAATATGGAATAATAATGTTAATTACCTTTCGAATAAAGTTAGAAAACTAGTATATACATTTTATCAGCTCCGAGAAGACAATTTCACCTATTTATAAATCGTTAGCTGAGTCTCTATTTTGTTATGGTATGATAGTTTGGGGAGGGAAGTATAAAAATTATTTGCAAGAATTGAGTGCTACTCTAAATTTCATTTTTAAAGTTATATACAAAAAATTAAGCTCTATCATTTATTATAGACAAAATCATCTAAAACCTGGGATTAAAAATGATTAAAAAAATTGTGGAAGTCTCACAAATAACTTCCAGGAAGTTTTAATGAACTGACAAAAATAGATAAAATTCTGAATATATATTGTCATTGACTGAGATTAGTTTAAGTGACGTATTACAGGCAATAAGCAGCCTAAAATCTGACGCAAAGAGAACAGATGGTACGAGTCAATGATCCAGATTTGCTTGCCAGTTATTCTCCTTCACATCGTCCACATCTTTAACGACTGTTTGGAAAAAGGGTACTTTCCAAACACATGGAAACAAGCGCTAATTATTCAACTCCTTAAAAAAATGAAACCCACTGGGTATAGTGATCTTAGACCTATCAGTTTGTTACCAATATTATCCAAAATTATGTCCAGTCTTTTGCAGATGATATGCAGTTGCTCAATTATTTTAACCCAGTTAATGTCAATAATACTACCCAAATTTTACAAATCTATGTGAGTAAATTAATTAGATACTCTTCAGATCATAATCTACTTATCAATCCACAAAAACCTAAGATGTTTTTATTTTGCGCCCAGGGAAAAAAAAGACAATGACAGCTCTTGATAAATAACCAAGTCTTTCTACTTTCTGATTATGCAAAAATTCTTGGTGTTGTTTTTGATACAAGATTAAGGTTTATTGAGCTATTTCTACCTGATAATATCCCTGACTAAGGTCTAAATGAGAAAAATATGTAGCTCCTGCAGGAGTCTAGAATCTCAGTTACGTTTGGGAGTTGAAATTTACTGTCTACAAGTTGCTCATTCAATGCCCTATAATCAATAATAACAACCCTTGATTTCTTTTATCCACTAGAAGTTGTCTTTTTCGGCACTAACCAAACTGGTGAAGACCATTCACTCTGAGCACTTTCGATTATGCCATTCTCATACATTTCAGAAACTTGTTTGTTTATTTCATCTTTCTGGGAGTATGGTAGTCTGTATGGCTTTTTATAGGTGGGGGTAGCATTGTCTTTTGCTTGAACGGATTCTTTATACAGGTTTGTCACTGATAATTTATCGCCTGGTATATGAAAAAGATCTGCAAATTTTGCACAAATGCTCTCTATTGAATTTTGTTCTTGTGGATCAAGATACTTTAATTCCAGTATGTCAAATAGTTTTTTTGATTCTTTCAACTGATATTTTAGAATTCAAAAACTGGGTACAGTCATAATCACTAAGTTTATCAATTTTCGGGGTACATTTTCTCAAGTAAACATAGGATTCTCGTGTGTTTAAGATTTTTACTGGGATTTTACAACACCGGCCATAAAGTCGGTATCACTACACATACATCATTCACACCAGTGGGTAGGTAGCATATTTTTCACATCTTGGGGGCAGCGTTAAAATATTGCTATTACAATATTAGAATGCAATTATAAGAATATTTCGTGTTCAGAAGGCGTAGACAGCGATAATGTGTTGCTCTCATAGTTTATTATACTTTTGTATTTCCTTAGAAAGTTTTCGCCAATTATACCGCCACTAGAACAAGGTAGGTTATCAAAGACATACAATTTTTCCTCAAAAACTTGATTTTCAGCCTTTAACCCCCAAAAAATGTAACCAAGAGACGTTATGGTTCCGCTTATTCCATTAGTTTCAATATTTTCTTTATAGACTAACATATTTGGTTTTACAATAGTTGATTTTATGGCACACAGCATGGCATCTGTATCAATTAAATACTTTGTTTCTTTGCTAAACACTGCAAAATTTACTGAATTAGCGCAATTATTTGAATATGTAAACAGTCCATAATTACAATTTTCACCTTTACGGAAGAAAAATGTTATGACAAAACATTTTCCTCTATCACATTAACGTGATGTCTGCCCGATCTAGCACGGATAACACCACGACCACGCGTGAATAAACGTCCGCGATGGTTTCTCGGAAATCGCTGTTGATATCTTACGTTCCTCTGTTTCAGGAAATTATGATTGTTGTTAGAATTAACATTTCTAGGACAGTTTTGCGCATAATTTCTACGTTGTAATGATCCCCTATGGAAAGTATTTGTCTGGAATTGGCGTGTTGTAGCAAATATCTGAGGATTATATCCAAGAGAACTAGCTTCTTCATCTACGACCTCCCTAATCGCGTCTTTTAAGTATGTAAAATTACGGGATGATATTATAGTACTTAAATTTTGACCCCTGAGACCATCAGAGAATCTTTTAATTGCTGTATTTTCATTAATTGGTTTTAGTACATTGTACGTGTTCGAATCGCCTTTTGATTGAGATATTGTCAAAATTACGAAAAGGTCTTCGATTTATTTCGCAAAATCCTCGATCGATATTTCGCCTTGTTTACAACTAAATATTTATCCTTGCAATGCGCTATCAGATTTTATGGTCAATAAATGTCTTTTCATATCCGCCAGCAATTCGGTTACGGTTGCGTACTCATTTTTTTGTCCGAGTTTCGCGTTATTACCCAGTCGCGTTTCCAGTAAGTTCACCAACAGGGGCTTTCCTTCCTCAGTAAGCATCGAATTATAAAAATCTATAGCATCAGTCAGTTTATTTGTCGTCTGTTCGGTATCATCCATTACCGCTAAAAGACTTACAGCTACCTTTAGACCAAACGAAGTAATCTTTGATGCGCTAGTAATACTTGTCTCAGCCTTAGATTGGAATTCGAGAATGTCACCGTAAACTCTCCTAATTTTTGTAATTAATGTAATCTCACTTAGTTTGCATTTTCTAGTAAATACTCCACAGTCTGGTTTTTCTTAATTTGTAACTGTTCTCATGTTATAATTGGTACATAGCAGCTCTCACTGATGTGCTGAAAAACAACCTGAAAAATAAAATCTCATCTAGGCCTCTTGTACCATATCTCTTCTTGATCACGCTCACGCTTTATTATTTCCTTTCTAATTTTTCGCCTCATCTGTCTCATGTACTTCTTTATGGAAAAATATAAGAATGCTCCAATGCTACTAGCACAATTAGTAAGTTTTGGGCCCTTGAAATTTCTCTGTCTTGCTTTGCTGTGACGTCTCCTGTTGCTGACTGTACCAATATCACTTTCTCTTCAACTTTGGACTGAGCTTTTCCCATTTCTGGTAGTCTCACAGTCACTTTAACTTGAGTGCCAGTAGCAGGATCGCAATGTCATAAAGTTGGATCAGGGTCTACTGACCCTCAATCAAACTCCCTTTTTTCTTAATGGAATCTAACTTTATTCTGTCTTTTCTAAGAAGCAGTGCATTTTTTACAATCAAAAGTTTAGCAGTCATTCAACTGCCTACATCAGCAATTAACAAGTCATAAGCAGGAAAGTATCAAATATTGCAGAATCGGTAGGAATATCGATATGTTATCACTTTTAATATTCAGGGTGATATCAGCCATACTACAGAGCACGTTAAAAGTCTTTCACAGAAAACCTACTCAGGGCTACGCACCCTTTTAGCAAACAGGTATTTACTAAATTTTAAACTGCGTAAAAAACTATGTGAAGCATTGATCATATCTATACTAAATTATTGTAATATCGTATACTACACATGTTCGGACAATTTCATTGGCGGCTTATCTACCGAAAACGGACCAATGGAAACGAGGCGCGTGCCGGTCAGATGATTTATTACTCCGTACGTTCGTTGGGTAGCCTTGTTTCGAATTTTATCTAGACTAACTTTTTGTTCCCCGGTTATACCCGTGGAACGTGTAGGTTGCGCCACAATTTCTCAAGCATGCAAGTTTATAAGATTACTTAAAAACCATGTTTTATGTTATTATAGTTTCAAGCATACGAAGTCGCGGGTAACAGCTTGTAAAACAACTGTATTTCTTGGCGGTCACAGGCTGAGGTGACGCTGACGCTGGAGGTTTTGGTTCTTGCCGCGACAATTGATTGCAAAATGGGCAATGAGTTCGCAGATAAAACCATGCCAACCTTCCTCGGGTATCAATTAGTGAATGTGCACACTTTTACGTCTCTCCGTATTGTGGTGCAGGTATGATGGTGACAGTGATATGCTGGTATATATACTATATACAGGTAGTCCCGCGAGGTTAGGGACAAATTTTTTTTACGTGTTCCTCAGGTCAATTCGAGTGGAAAAAGTCCTATGAACATGGGTCCGCAAATGCTTTCTTATCGAGATAATGATTTTTTTATCTTTAGGGTGCTAATGGTGGGAAAACCACAATATTGTGGAAAATAACTTTTATTTTACACAAAATTACTAGGTACAATAAAAATAACTATTCACAATAGTTGTTCAAATTGTCCACCTTCACACTGTAAACATAGTCTAGCCCGTTTAATAATGTGACTGGTGGCTTTCCCAATAACAAGACGATTACTTCTTATGTCGTCAGCGACATCAGTAATTTTACGGAGCAGTTCAGCCCTGGTATGCGATTTCTCTGCATACACTAAACACTTCATATGTCCCCACAAGTAATAATCCAAGGGATTTAAATTGGCCGAGCGGGGTGGCCAAGAAACTGCGCCCCCTCGTCCAATCCAACGCCCAGGAAAAGTGTTATTTAAATACTCACTCACATTTCTACCACTGTGGGGCGGAGCACCGTCATGCTGTAACCACCTATGTTGTCTTCTCTGCAGCGGAATATCCTCTAACAACACAGGTAGTTCTTCTCGTAAGAATTGAAGATGAACTTCATATGTCAACGGACCGTCAAACACAAAAGGGCCAACTAAGTGATCCCCTAACAAACCGCACCAGACATTAACAGAAAAACGGTGTTGGAAATTCAAACATTCAAAACATTTTTAACAAGATTACGATTCGCGAGGAGCCAGTTACAAAACTGCATACGAGGGTCCGGATCAGTGAGCAGCAGAGCTTGGACAGGTTGCGACAGATTGCAGATGAAATGGGTACAAACCAAAGTTGTGTATTGTTCTCCACACAGTCATTCGGCTAACACCAGTGCGACGTGATATTCTGCGGACGCTAGTTAATGGTGACCATTCAACACTATCCAGTATTAAGTCATGGCAGCCTCTGATGGACGTGTTACAGTGGCATTTGGAACCGATCCCGTTGCTTTCACATGTGCCAAAACTCTTCCAAATTCCCTTCTGTCAGGTATTCTTCGATTTGGATACCGGCGGCGGTGTTCGTTCACTGATGCTTTGTCATTTCCGTTGCAATATCCGTAGTCAAACATCATGTCACCGTATTCCTCACTTGTAAAAACAAACATGACAGTAATTTTTGCAAAGTTCAATCAAATTGACACAACTACTCCGTCAACAAACAAACAAACATCAGCGTATTAATCGGGCAGTACAACGTGAATGTGGACTTTAATTATTGTAAACAGTTGTTTTAATACGAACGGTATTACATTTTTTGTTAAATAAAAGCAATTTTCCTACAATATTGTGGTTTTCGCCCACTAAAAAAATCATATCGCGATAAGGACCCATGTTAATTCGACTTTTTCGACTCGAATTGACCTGAGGAACACGCAGAAAAATGTTTTCCCTTACCTCGCGGGACACCCGGTATAACAACTTATTGATCCCAAGAATCTTTTACAAGTTTATCGAGGGGCAATTGAAAATACAAAATAATACTCATGAACAAAATAGTACATTTGAACATTCACATTGGCATAAACATCATATTATATGGGGTTGTCCAAAACGGACGCAGGAAAGTAAACGCATATTAAAACAAGAAAGATTGATATTCAAATCAAGTTGGGTACTTTATTTTGAAGGTTCATTTATACCATTTATGTATGAAAAATAATATCGCTCAAATCTTCACAACGACTGGATTTACAGACGTCCACGCGACGGTCGAAATTTTCAATGACATTTTGCAACATGGTCGGTTCTATGGCATTTATCTCGGCAATGATGTTGTTTTTGAGTTCTTGAAGGGTGGCTGGTTTGTTGACGTAGACTTTGCTTTTCAAATATCCCCATAAAGATAAGTCCAAGGGAGTCAAATCGCACGATCTTGGTGGCCATGGCACATTTCCTCTGCGCGAAATCACGCGATCACCGAAGAAGGACTGCAATCGATGGATATTGACGTTGGTTCCTTCAAGTTGCGGCAAAAAATAGTCCTCTATCATCACGTGATATCGCTCAGAATTGACGGTAACGGCGTCCCCAGACGCATTTTCGAAAAAGTAAGGTCCGATGATGCCTTTTGACCACAATGCACACCACACAGTCACTTGTTGAGGATGCATCGGCTGCTCTTGATACTCACGGGGATTTTCGTTCGCCCAGATGCGGCAGTTTTGCTTGTTTACCGTCCCATTCAAAGTGACATGCGCTTCGTCGCTGAACATGATTTTTGATGAAAAATTGTCATCAATTTGGCGGTGTTCAAGGAGCCAATCTGAGAACGTTCGGCGCGAAAAATGGTCTGCCCGACGCAGCTCTTGCGTCAATTGGATCTTGTAGGCGTGTACATTCAAATCCTTGTGGAGATTGCGGAGCAAACTGGTTCTCGAAATACCCAATTCTTGGGATCGACGCGTTGTTGATTGTTTCGGATCGTCTCTCACACTCTCCTTCACAATAGCAATATTTTCCGGTGTGCGAACGCTCCTTGGCCGGCCAGAGCCTGGCAGATTTGCCACAGAACCTGTTGCTTCGAATTTACGCACCAGACGACCGATGGTTGTTTCGTTTGGGCGGTTGTTGCGACCGAAATGTTCAGGAAACGCGCGAAACGTGTTTTTTATTTTTGCACCATTTTTGTAGTGCTCTTGAGTAACTGTAATGCGGTCTTCAATCGAATACGACTCCATAGCGATCAATGGTAAACATTCAACTAACAAAATGACATGTCGGTGACAGACAACAAAGATGGCGTCTATGTCAAATTGACGTTTACTTTCCTGCGTCCCTATTGGACAACCCTTTAGTATCAATATTTGTTGAGGTGAAATTTATTTATTTATTGTGTTCGGTTCTGTACATATGAACAGATTCAATTTCTTGAAAAACGACAGTTGAATGCTTGATTTTTTTCAATAAGGTGTATGCAAGATATTTCAGTGCAATGTGCTCCGTAATTTTGTATTGGATGTTCAAAGTCGATATTGTTTTTGTTTTTAGTTGTTCAATATGAACATTCCATCTTAAATTTGGATCAATGCTGGGCCAAGGAATTTAACACTGCTAAGATATTGAATGAATTAAGTCGAAAGTTTCAGGGCCCCATATTATTCCTCTAGATGTTTATGAGTCACTATTGTATAAAATAATGTTTTTAAATTTAGAATATAATTACGAAAATGTAGGCAGTCCAATAGTTTCATTATGTCCATGTCCATACTTAGCTTAATTTGATGGAATGTTTTCAAAAAAGTAAATTATTGCAGTATCGTCTGCATATAAACTAATACCTCCTTCCAAAGGTTGTATTGACGTAAATCAGGAATAACATACAAGTTGATTCCTATCTTGAAGATCATTTTTGAACCATTTCATAGAATTTCCTTGTATATCTATTCCGTATAATTTTTTCAATAATTTTGCAAATTTTTAATAGAAGTGAGATGGGTTTGTAGATGTTGTTAGCTTTATCACCACCTT